TTCTATGAGTTTATAGAAAGTTTTACAAGACTTTTAGGGTTATATTAGTTATGGAACAAAAATTAATTAATAATAAAGTGTTTTATTCTTATTTTGTTAAGACTTTTTCATGAAATACATTTTACAGAATCTTTCTTCAAACTTAAGAGGCATTGCTCTTTAAAGTTTTATAGGCTGCTGCCTTTTTCCGGCCCTGTAAACCCCACAAGAAGTATCCCATTAGCTGGAAATCTTATTATCCTTCGGTTGCGGTTTCAGTTTCACGTTTATTCGGTGGTCCATCAATTGGCTTTACCGATTATCAATTTCCAGCGTTAATTGGCGTCCATTATTTATAGTCAAACGAACACGGCGGCTGGCGTATGGCACGCATCTAATGACGTCACAAGTGAAAGCGCGAGCACAGAGAAATCGATTGGGCGAAACAAAGACGTCATCACTTAGCCGTCGTAGGGACATGCGCGATTGTGCAGAACGAGACAGCAGACGACGGGCATGAATGAATGAGTGGAAAATCAAATGGGTGGAAAAGAGGGGGTGGTGAGAGGAAACAGACAGGTGCAAATAGCCAGGTGAGTAGGCCGAGGCAGAGGAAAAACACCGGCCGGCGGCTCAGTTTTCCCCTTCGTTATAGCCATCTCGTTTCCGTGATGACGTCCTTGTTACTACACTAGTCGCCTCGCTCTCGTCTGACGTCACTTGTCCTTGGCTGGGTGGTCTATTTCTGAGTGCTCAGCACCACCCACTCATGACGTCACCGTTGTGCTTGCTTCACTCGCCGCCTTCCGCTCCATTGCAGCGAAAGTGGCCGGAAATAGCCAAAGGATAACGACACGTGCTGCAGTCCCCACTCACCATCCACTACATTTTTCTAGTCCTTTTTGCCATAGTTTTCTCTCTGTAAAAATAGTTTTTGCCGTGACCATAAAAATGCAGCGTGACATAAATTGTAGGGAAAGTTGAGTGGGAAAATGGTTGAAAATAACAAAGGATTATTTTTAAAACTGGATGGAATATATTTAAGAAAATGGTATTCGGTTAGCCAGTTATATAACATTAAGGGTTAAGTCATAAGTTGGTTAGGCATTAACTTCTACATTCTACATTTTAGGAAAAGGTTTTTAGATTGTGTTAGGAATTCAAACCTTTGAGGATATATAAAAGGAAAATCCAGAATTATTTTAAGTTAAGTTTTGTTAGTAAACGGAAGTAAATCAGTTGTCTATTGAAATTATATAACTGACATCGCAATCTGATTAATGAGAAATCTCGGATCTGGAATCACCTGACATTGATTCGGTTCTCAAGCCAAATGGCATTAGGGAAGTTATTCTGCAACCCCCAATAGGAGCAAATATCCGCATCGTCTCATTTGTAAATCGCAGTCAACAATTGATTTATGCAGATGGATGAGTTTCTAAAGGTTGCCCAGGCAAATGGATTGAATAACTCGAATGCCCCTCTCATCATGCCCGGCGGCAATACGATACCGTCACAGTTTCTTTTTTTTTTTTTCAGTTCACCAGCGGATTCCATGATGTAGCCAAGTAGTACTGCATGTGAGAATCGCCATAAATTAAATGGCCAGTACAATCTGTCAGTGATAAAGAGCACACTATGTTCTAGACAGAACACCACTGGCAGCTCCAATTGCTGGCTCCCAAGATGGAAGAAGATGCCGCGACACTGAGGGAAGTTGATCTTAATTAGGAGAGTATTAAATGTTTATATGATAAAAGCATATACCAAAGTATGCTTTAAGTATGCTTTTTAAAGAAGTATTAATAAAAAATAAAATATTGATTCTTGTTAAGGTTACTTTTTAATACAACTAAAACTAAAACTATCTCAGTGTATACCCAATTCCAACCGCAGTTGTCTCTAATTGCCTGTTATAAACTAGACGAAGATGGCGGTACACTGAAAATAAATACTCAACCGTTAAATATTTAGAAAATATTAACCCTTTTACACTTTAACTTTGATTTACTAAACAAAACCCTAATACAAAATTTACATTTAATATTTCCATACATTTTCCCACTCACTTAAACTAAAAAATAAAAAGAAAGTTATTGATTCTCGAGAACCAAAACAAACCAGAGTATTTTCTTACTTTTCTCTCAATGTCTAAGCCTGCGGCATTGGCAACCAGTTGCATGTTAGGAGGCAACAAAAAAGTGGCATCTTTGGGTCTCTCTCGGCGGCGGTTGGCCATTTTCTCACCTGCGGCGCTCAAAGGCGACCTCGACCTGTCTCAAGCTAAGGCAAGCCGATATGTTCTGTCTATATAGTATATATATACAAATATATATGTATAAACTTACCCAGTCGAGAGGCTTCACTGTATTATTTATTGACATTCAGTGTGGCAATAGCTGGCAGCAGTGGTCCATGTTTTATGTCTCTATATACTAAAATTGCATAGATTTGTATCAATTGATAGTGGAGAACAGGACGGAGAACTTGGTCAGCAATTGAAAGGCAACATGCAATCGTGGATTGTCTGCCAGCGGCTTTTGTCAAATTGAAGGTAGCTTCGATGTGTGCCCACAACATACTGTAACTATGTATCTATATAGCCATAACCCAATGAAGATCCGGGGGGAATTAAAGCCAGAAAGCCAGACAAAGTCGGGGGCACCTTGACAAGCCTAGGCACGTCTTCCACCGGCAATTGGCCAGAGATGCTGGCCAAGAGATGCTCGAAGTCGGGCTAACTTCGTGGCTTGGCTGATTGTTTTTCCCGCAATTTGGTCTTCTATTTCTTAGATTCTAAATGCGGGCTATACACTTACATAAGGTTATGTGGTCTATGAATAATGTGAGGCTAATTTACAAAATAAGAGGTTTAGGTGGTTGAAGGCAAACATATGGTTTTAGGACAATCCAATTTTTCTTAAGATTATCCTATATAAAACAAGTCAATAAACAGATATAAATGTATTAAGAAAATCATTGTAATTACAAGCTTAATCACCAAAAACAGATCACAAAATGTTAAAGAGTATTTCCAATTCCTCTTAACAAATCTCAAACATTTTTGATTTCATTTGTTATGTTTTTCCCTCGAATTTTATGGTTAGTCAAAATGCGCGGAATTAATTAAACGGCTTAAATAAGATGTACTAACAATTTGTTGCTAATGTGCCAATCACTCGCCTCTGCCCAAAAAGTTCATCAGCATCAGTTGAGGAGCCCAAGAACAAGGAGTGTGCATTCGCAAATTAACTTTTGCATCATCATCATCATCATCAGCAGCAGCAGCAGCAGCAAGTCCATGAATCGTGCATGAAAACATCTCCGAAGAATCAAATGAATTCGGATCTGCCCAAAAAAAAAAAGAAAAGAGAAACGAAAATATTGTAATTTTAATATTAAATTAATGTTGGCAAGTCTTGGTGGTATCTTTGTTGCTGCTTGCTGGTGTTGCAGCATGTGGCGTGCCACAAAATAATTTGCGAATCCAAAACAAAGTGGGTCATTCACCGCATGTCTGTGGGTGTCTAATAAAATTTTATTTCAAATCGACGGGAATTAAATGTTTCACAAAAACATTAGAAATTAAGAGATTTCTAACCTGTTAAGATGGGTTGGAAAATGTTAGGTAGGAAGGGAAATTAGTAAATGAAATTATTAATCAACTTTACGTGCAAGGTAGTTAAAATATTTAAAACTATCATGATAAAAGGGTTAAGTTCGACTACTTAAAATTGATGTTAAATAATAAGTAAAATATTTCAAAAAATAAAGAAAACAACGACAAGTCAAGGAAACATTTATAGATCTTAAACTAATGTTATCCTTTTTTGCCTTGCCATTTTATTTGTTTAACTATTTTTGTTAACTAAAACAGTTACTTAACTTTTCCCAAGAGTCGAATGCCTTTTACTTCCACTCACTCCATTAAAATGAAAACCCCCCAGATTCCGCCCCTTTTTCGGGGTTCTTCCCAGGCGTTAAGCGATACTAAAAGTTCATCCATCGAGAGGTGTGCTAAGCGATAGCAAAAGCCATTTCCCATAATCGCAAGGCCCCCGAACAACAACAACAACAAACTAAAACAACAACATCATCGAACGACAACAGCAACGACAACACGAATTTCTATGGCATCAGGGTAACAATTTTAAGGCTTGTCTCTCTTATGAAATAAGACAGCCCAGCAGAGATTTTTAAATAATTCACAGGCGTGATTGGACACGCTTCGAGTATATAGTAAGGTCTATCTTAAAAATTAAAAAAAAAAAGAAGAAAAATAAAAAGTGGTAAGGTAAACAAGAAAATCCCTGCTTAATTTGCTCTACTCATGCAAACTCTCCTCTCGTTGAACAAGAAGATGCATCTGCGATTTATGGCCAAAATGTCAGCGAGCCTGGTCTAGTTAAAGTACACTAATTAGTCAGATAGTCGAACATGGCAGACACCTGAACATGTCAAGGCATTTGTCTGGGGTGCCCCTAGCCCCTCTTTAACCCCCTCTGATTAGAGAGTCAAAGCTATTGCAGCCGACAGCCATTTAAGGAGCCACTCGAGGTCAGTCTAAACAACAACAACAATAATAACGAAAAAAAACAACACACAAAACAAAGCAAAACGTATCGATGACTAACCAATGGACTGGCCACAGGTGAGTGCGATCTATATTGTGCACTGAGAAAAAAGTTAAGCTAGAACATAGGAAACCGATCTTATGTGGCAAAGAAAAGTATCCTTTCATATTCAATACCATTTCCATTTTCCACTGTTTTTGGTTTTCTAACGCTTTTCCTTAGATTCTAGCTCACATTCATTCGAAGTTTTAGGGTTTTCCCAAGTGTAAACAACTGGTCGCTGATCGCTGAACGGGTCGCCAGCTTCCTGCTGCTAACACAGACATCATCGGCCAAAAGCAACAAAGTTCACTTCCAATAGAGCAGCAATTGAATGCGAAATTTATTGCCAGCGATCGATCGATCGAATCAAATTGAATCGCGGATTCAGAACTGTATCGAATATCGTATTGTTTGATTTTGGTTTATTTTTTATCTTTTTTATTTTGTTTTTGTTTTTTGTTAGGCAGGCCTGCTTCCATTTGTTGTTACAGCCAAAGGCCCAAAGTGCAGCAACACCGCACACGCTTGTCCGCAATTATCGGCGTGCTAATGGAGCATTGTGAGCATGATCATAAATTTATATCGTCCACTTCCTTATGGCAGACTCTAGACCATGACTCAGTTCGGTGAGGATCCCATTGTTTCAGATATATGGTTTCCAAGGGCACCAGTTCAGTTATGGAAAGGAATTCAATTGAAAGTACTCCCACACAAAGGCTCTTCCTTGATGGTAGAAAAATAATAGTTTTGAGGAATTTAATTAAAAGGTTTGTCTTAGAAACTGTACCATAAAATACTTACAAACTTATCTTGAATGGGTTTTCTCTTGAAAGTTTCAATCAACGAATGGCCAACTATGATAAGGTTTCCTTTAACTTTCAGCATATTAAGGTCATGTTGTTTTTTAAAACATAAATCGTTAAAAAACGTAAATCCTAATGTATATGAAAATATATAAAATATTCAATGAGTATTATCAACTTACCAATCTTATTAATGTTTTTCGGCCAGTCTTTCTAATTAAAATTAACCTTGACACGGTTCAAAGTATCGACGTAATCCGGATGCTACAATATAAAATTATCAAGATATAGTCTGAAAAATTAAGCACTAGCATTAACCCACCATTAGGATATTTGGCCTGATCTTAGTCCCCTTTACATTGATCACCAAATTGCGACCGGATCCCTTGGAGCAGTATCCAATGGCGTTGATTACAAAGTCATTGGTGATCTCCTCGCAATCACTCAAATCTATAGTATTCAGCTGAAGGCACTTCCGCAACAACCTCATCATTCCAATGTCCATCACATGACCGCAGAAGTCCAAACCAAAACGCTCCAGTTGACTAAGATCATTAAAGAACTTAAAGTGATCATCCTCCAGGATATCCGTGTTGCTAAATTGCAGTTCCTTGAGGCTACTCAGCTGTCCCAAACACCTGGCATGTTCATTGGTGATCTGAAACTGACCATTTAAATGCAGATAGGTCAGTTTGTTGCCCCGGTTCTGGGCCAAAACATTAAGGAAATTAATATTCAGCTCATTGGAGGTCATCCAGGTCTTCAATGTACATCGCTCCAGTTTTGGCAACTCGGCAATAATCTCGAAGTTGGTATCACAGCCCGAGAAGAAGAGCTCCTTTAAGTCTGTACAACTTTCGGCTATCTTCTGATATAGACTCTGATGCATCACCTCAAAGCAGCAGTCGTCGAGTTCTAATGTGTGCAATGATTTCAGAGGTATTCCAAAGTCCATAGAGTTCCATAATAAGCAGTCTCGAAGAACCAAGGTTTTAAGGTTTGGAAGACCACAAAGATTTTTACCTTTTTAAGAAAAGTTGTTTTAGATTCAAGAATCTTTTACCCTACAATGGAAACCCTTACCCGTATAGCAACCATTGACCAGCTCGAAAGACTCCAAATCCTGGTTGGACTGCAGATCAAAGTTAAGCACATCCTCTGCATCCAGGCACTCAATACTAACCCGTTTCAAATGAGTCATTTTGGTCATGATATTGCGATAGTGAAACTCATCGGTGGCATTAGAGTAATTGATCTCCTCCAAATTCGGACAATATTCCATTACGAACTCCACGAGCAGTGATTCTTTTTGGAAGGACGCACAGTCCACTTGAAGGACTCGTATAAAAGGTCCAGCAACCTTGAAGAACCTTATGAGCTCCGGCAGAGGCACTGTCTCCAGAGTTTCAATGTTCAAAATGTTTTTTTGAGCACGCGCCCAGCCCTCAAAGGCCAATCGAAACTTGGGGGCCACACAGGCCAGCAGCACTTTATCCGTCATTTTGGGCAGGAAGTCTAGAACCAGTCGGATGATGTCCTCCGGCAGATCCAGCAGACTGGTCATGCATGGCGGCGTCGTCTTAGGAGCAGGAGCACGGATACGGGCAGGACGAATAACACGAACAGGAGCAGCAGCCCTCACTATCCTCGTTTGGGGTTTTGCTTTTGGCATTTTTTCAGACTATTTTATTCTGTACGAAAATTTTGATACATTTTTGACTCTACATGACAATGTGATAAAGAATTTGAAACATAAAAACCTCTATTCAACATATTTCGATACTTTTTAAAACTTATATTTTGTAAACTTTAATTTACCAATAGCTTATAGTTATTACTATAAACACTTTACTTTATGAACCCATCATCTTTGTAAAGCTAAAGACGATTCCCATAAGCTTAACATATCCCTGACCCTGAGTATAATACTAATTCCCATGGGTCCAGGCACTTCCTACGGCTGACAGTGACCGTCAATAGTTTACGGCCGACAGCTGCGGGCAATTTTTCGCATTCCTCGATTATTCACCGTATAAACGAGTTTTCTTTTTGTTTGACAACAATTAATTGCATAATTGCCTGAATAAATGCATAAATCAATTGCCGCGACTGAGAAGTCGCCAAATGCTATATGCTACATATACTTATATATTTATTTATTTTTACCGGATATGTTTGAAGAATTAAGTTTCGGTTTTTATACACCTTTTTGTAATTCGCATTGTTTATTGTTGATGTGAAAACAACTTAGGCGTAATGGTAATGCCCTACAATTAATGAAAAGGGAAACGAATTCGATATGCGAACAGGGAAATTGCTATATATGAAATATATAGAGTATGCTGTTGAGGAACATGGATATAATATGGAATGATACAGCTGCAATTAATATGTTATAAACACATTTATTTTATACACATTCAATGGCAATTGCTAACATTGTGCTGCAAAATGGTTGTATATTCTATGATTATTATAGTTTTATGTTGGATCAAGATTTTGTTTTAATCTATATATAAATCTCTTTTATACACCTAGATCCAATGTGTTAATTGCATGGTGCCATCATGAGTCCTCTGGGTGTCCATGATGCTCATTTGACGCACCAACCGCTTCATCGAAGGCCGATGAATTGGTCTAGCACTCCCACTGGCCGTTATATCCAATGGTGTGCGCTCGTCAATTCGCGGAGTCGGCTCCCGAACCCTTCGGCTGTCTCTCAGCTCCAGCTCCACCTCAGAAGCATTATTGGAGGACCCAGCCAGGACATCCAGGTTTTCGTAAGACGGCGGCTGGGATAAAACATCCCTGAAAAAGATAAAGAAAATTTTTTAAAATTAGAATAATCTGAAAAAGAATCTTTAATTAAGACTTACGGCTTTTGAGCGCAGCTACAGCAATCTTTTAACTGCCAGTTCTTGCCAAACTCCTCGCCCTCCTCGATGGTCTGGGGCAGGCGATGATGCAGTGTCTCCGGTAACCGCAATCCTGTCATGCCGCCCAGCATTGAAACAAAGCCCATGATAACTAATGGTAGCTTAAGATTGTCCTTTCCCAAGTAGGTAACAAATGGTATGACGATGAGACCCAATCCTCCAATATAACTGGAAGCACCAATGCCAATGCCTCGAACTTGAGTGGGATACAATTCTCCGGCAAAGGGATAAATGATCAGGAAGGAGGCAGAAAGCAAGGGCCTTGGATATTAGATATAACACCAGGGTCTCATCTACAGCATCATCCGGCAGCATTACAGTAATCACACAAGCCACGCCACTGGAAAAGATTTAATATTAGTTTACAATTTGATTAAGAGAATAGATGAACACATAATTACCCCAAGATCATGGATAAGCTCAACGGCCATCTTCTGCCCCAGGTGTCCATGAAGTACCAGCAACACAAGTAACTTGGCAGCTCTACAACAGCTGACAAAAAGAAGCTCACATACTGATTGGTGCCCAGCGAAGGTCCATAGTAACTCAGACCCAGATAAACCGTCTCATTGGCAAACCAACTCAACGTGATCAGTATGGTCTTCAAGCGCATATTAGGGGTGCGACAGAGATCCCTTAGCCCTACATTGACGACCTTTTTCTTCTGCTTTTTGAGCTTATCCCGCCGTATTTGAGCTTCAAGCTTAAGATGCACAGCTTCTGGAAACTGTTTGCCGTTAACTCTAGCCATGCGCTCTAAAATCTTGAGAGCCTCCTCCAGGCGTCCCCGCATCAAGAGCCATCGCGGTGATTCCGGCATCACAAACATGTACAGGAAATAGGCGTAGAAAGGCAGTGAGGTTATATAGGAGAGACGCACCCAATCCCTTTCCAGATAAGTTACTAGGGACAGCAGCATGATGCCCGAAGTGTAGAAGGTGCAAGTCATAACTGTCACAAAGGATCTATAGTTTTCGCCCACCAGTTCCAAAGCTGCAAAGTCAAAAAGGTTAATAACATTAAATGGTAATATTCCCTACAAGTACTTCTCACATATTATGAAGGGTATCTGATAGACAGCTGGAATGGTTAATCCCACTATGACTCTGCTGCCAGCCCAAGTCCAGAAATCCTTGCTCAACGAAGTCATCAAACTGCCAGCTAACAAAGTGGCCAAGCAAATAAAATATGAAAGCTTTCGCCCAGCACGATCGTTAAGTAATCCAAAAAGATAAACACCCACGGGACCACCGGTGTTTAGGGCAGCCAATCCAATCGTGGGATATATATCCTGATCACACACTAAATCAAACTAAAAATGGAGATTTAATTGTTTCTCAGTTAGGTCATTTTAAACTTCTTTCTGAAGGTCATGCTTGGGAAATGAATCAAGCTTCTCCTAGATGAAGGATTATGTGGTTTTGATAATGGCTTAATAGTCCGTAACTTTCGCACATCAATCACAATAGAGGACCAAACGGTGCTCGTGTTGTATTCCCATCCCTGACTGCACTTGACCAAGGGCCAACTGGTGTTTGGTTCCATGATCATCAAGTCATCCTCTTCCCCTGATTCAAGCAGTTGCGTCCAATTGACTCCGTAAGTATAACATTTGCTGAAGACCAGTTCATCGTTATCCTTCAAAAAATTAAAAATAAGTGATGTAGATTAGTTAGTGAGACAATTAGTTAGTTAGTTTAAAAACTTATGAAAAACACTCTCTCAAACCAACATTTGTTTACTTTCCTCTTTCAACCCATTTCTTCATTTTTGTTACTCATCGAACAACCCTCGTATCGACCCTTAACCTCCGTCAACGCACAATCAATGAGCTGACTTGATTACCTTAGCCACAAGCACTCGTATGGCTGCAATTACTCACCACTTCCTTGGGTATGGCCAGCGTCTTTCTCTGCTCCAGCGGCAAGTCGAGTAGCTCCGGAATACGACACCAATAGTCATCCGGAGTATCAGCCATAAACAACTGATTAAAAGCACAAAAACCGCATGGAATGCAGGCGGGCAGGCAAATGCCGAAGACCAATAGCTTCTGGTACTTGCCAAACTCTCCGATTGTAGGCAGAAGGTCGTCCAGATCGAAGGCCTCCTGGAATACAAACAATGAAAGTTACAAAAAAACCAATAAAGACATCTCTCGGCTACATACATCCACCGATGGCTGGGATTCAGGCTTCTGTCGTTGTCGCAGCTCCGAAAGTTCATCATATTCGTCCCCATCGCTATCCACAATATCTGACATGGATACGCCGCTAGACAATCTTTGAGCTAGAAATGTTTATTCGCACTGCCTGGTTTAGCCAGCTCGCGGAAGCCATAGAAAGATCTAACAACTGTCAGATGTCTAGGGTTGAAAAAAAGAGCTAGTTCGGGTCAAAGTAAAAAGTTTACCACATGGGGGCGCATTTCATAATTTATAGTTTTGTTTATTCTTTAGTCGCAAGTTAGATTTAAATAGTTTAAACTAAAGTATTTAAATATTACACGTGAATTCAATCCTGCTCGAATTACGGCTAAGACGAGCCACTAATTACAGTTAGGCTTTGATATTACAAATAGAGAAAGGGTTTTAAAGTACTTCGTTTTGCGGCTCAGTACTTTTTATTGGGCTTTCAGATTTCCTCGTTTTCTTTCTTTTTTTTTTTTTTGGAATCGTTGCTAGAGCTGGGAAATGGACATTGCTAAACTTTACGTCTAAAGATTAACAGAACGGTGAACTATACAAAAGATGCTGCTTCAAGTCACTTTTTCAACTCCAACTCGTCTGCTGTTTACTGCTTAAAGATTATTGCGCGCTTCGTTTCTCCACGGTTCTTGCCTGATACAAATATATGTAATCGTAATTATAATAAACAGAAAACTGTCTGTGCTGGGCGCACAGCGCAGAAATCACACACACATTAGGCTTAAGTGTAAATTTGTGGCTACACATACAAAAATACATTCGCACGAGCTCCCTTCTTCTTGATTTTTGATGTTTAATCCACCTTAACCACACTGTAGATCTTGCGTATGAACCAGAAGCACGCGAAGAATCCGATTGTGCCGGTCATCAAGAAAAACAGGAATACCATTATAGCCGTGTAGCCGAAATACAGGAACGTCGAGGCACTGTCCTTGATCGAGAGCTTTGTCACAAAGTAATGGCAGCAGTAAATGAAGAGATAGACAGCAGTGAATCCGGACGTTAAGAAGGAGCGCCACCACCAGTGATAGTCCTCTGCACACAAGTGGAAGTAGCACAGCAAAATGGTTGTCTCCGAGCACGTGATAACCAGGATGACAAAGACCAGGAACAGAAAGCCGAACATATAGTATATCTGGCTGGACCACAGCGAGCTCAGGATAAAGAACAGCTGAATAAAGATGCAGCCAAAGGGCAGAACGCCACCCATGACAATGCCAGGAATAGGCTGAGTGTAGATCGATTGGTCGGGTATCTGGCGAGGAATCTGGTTGGTACGAACTGGATGCTCCAGAGCCTAAAAATATACAAATCATGTAAAGTTTTGGGCTTACATTTGGAAGTTATTTATGTACTTACGCGTTTGCGGAACCCAAAGTAAGCTCCAACAAATGTCAGTGGCACTGAGACGCCAAACCAAAGAGCAAGTAAGGCAATCAGCGTGCTAAATGGCACAGCTCCAGAGCTACTTTCTCCCCAAAGCACGAGGTTCATTACGAAGAAGAGTGAGAAGACCACACTAAAATGTATAAAAACAGGAAAATTTAAATAGGAACTTAAAATGTAACATTAATGTTATAGAAAACTCACCCAGGGCAAACGATCGAGGTTAGGATGACATTACTCTTCCATTTCAGACCTCCGAAACTCTTGTAAATACGCGCAGACACGTAACCAGCTGGAGTTCCCAACGAAACAAAGAGGACCATGGAACAGGTCATCAAGGCACCGCGATTTGCTGGGGACAGGAAACCCAAGCACGCAAAGGCTAAGGTGATCATGGCCATCACCAGAACCTGTGCACCGGAACCAAGGAACACTGACAGCAGCATACCTTTGCGCGGCGGTCTAAAAACATCTCCATGGACAAGCTTCCAGCCGAACTCTTCCTGTGCATCCTCGCCGCTATCCATCTGATTATAGCGGGCAATATCTTTGTGCAGAGTACGCAGCATAATCATGGCCACCATGCCACTCAAAAAGAGAACAATTACCAGGGAGTTCAGAATGGAAAACCATTGGATATTTGTGTGTGGCATGGATTCCAAGATGTAATCCCAACGGGACGACCATTTGATCGAATCGTTTTTCACAAATTTCACACTATACGTATACACTATGGTAAGTTGCTCTCCAGCCTTCAACGAGTTCTCACTAATTGCCAGCGGTTCGGTGCTCAAGCAGTTGATATTAACTGGATCAGGGTGCTTGATCGATTTAGGTGACACTTTAACAGAGATAATGCGTCCACTGTTGCCGAATTGGATTCCCCAATCCTCCGATTGACCGCTATGATACGTTATCTCCAGATCCACATGATTGAAGGGATAATAATGCATCGGCTGGTTGTATGCGGGGTTGATTGGACAGCCATCGCCATCACTGCGAACAAGACACCCCATTGGGAATCCAATTCCGCAGTATTGTTTGCCATTCTCCAGTGGATAGCACCAGGTCACCGGCATGTTGTCCACAATCCAGTGGTGTTGATAATTCAAACTGATGCCCTTTTTAAGAACCATCATCTTGCGGTTATCAACTGGATCATCACCTTTGTATGTTTTGGCACAGGCCTATAATACAAGATAATTATTTAAGGTGAGCCCCTTAAATAAAAATAGTTTTCAAACTTACCTTCGCACATTGCTGATTCTCTAGGAATTGAATTTTATAGGGGCCTGGGCGGATTCGCTCGCCGAACACCACCTGTCCCAGATTCTCCACTGGAGAGTTGGACTCCTCCCCTAAGCAAAAGTCGAAGTGATGGTATTCATAGGGTATTACCGATTCTTCGGTGTTTAATCGGTTCACGTACAATAAGATTTCCGACTATTAAAGAAAAGCAACAATAATGTACAACAATCGGAAATTTGTATTATCTTTTAAAATTATAAATTTTTAAGTGGATACTATTTTAAATGGCTATAAGAAATATGAATTATCCTTGATAAGTTAAAACATTACAACATTCCGGATTGGAGAACAACTTTCAAAAAAAAAAGAGCGTTAGGGTTCCATACAATCCATCTAATCTGGAAACTTGTTGATAGTTGAAAATGACTGAAAGTGAAACACCTCAATTTATTTTTATCGGTAAATATAACTGTTAATTAAAGGGCTCATAAGACGATAAGTCTTTTAGGCCTTATCTACCTAAAATAATTAAAGTTTAATTAAAAAGTTATATTGCAACTCTGTCTGTCTATTTTGTAATAAAAGGGTTATTCAACACATAAAAAATGTATTAAATTAAAGAAAACTAAATACATTTACCTAGGCTTGTAATGGAAGAAAGTATAACTATTTTAAATTACAGAACACTATTATCTACTAATGGCTAATTGTAGTGGTGATCAACATTATCATTATCAGTTGTGATTCATAGGAATGTAATCCCATAATTTATATCTTAAGAAACAACTTTCTCCTGTTTTGATTTCAATTTGAAAAAGGTTCTTTAAGTAAAAATCTAAATAGTAATAGTAATAGTTTTTCTGCATAGACCACCAACTTAGTTCTTAGTTCAAGCTTCAAATATTATAATAAACTCTTTCCAGATACTACGTCAGTGACCAAGTACAGATCAAAAGCCCAAGAATTCAACCTGCATTCATGTGACAGCTGAACCAACATTAGAAGTACCATTTTCTGCTTTTGGAAGCGTGTTTGGGATAGCCAACGACAGCAGAAGTGGAGATATGGACCCGTCGTATAGCTAGTAACTAGCCTTATCAGCGCTTCCGTTCCTGACCGCCATTAGACGAATATATCACCATTATACACCACTATTTCCACTGGCATTGGTAATTGTTGCGGGCGTAAGACAAACACACCCACTATGTACGAGTACATACATACACATGTACGCACATACATATGTACAAACCTTGCATGTGGAGGAGATATCGGTTTTCTTGCAGAAATTAACCGGCGCCAATCCGGGCAGATAGAAGGCCTGTGACGGGGTCCCCAGGTGCAGAAGGACGACGCCCAGGAGCGGCAGAAGTCCGGAAAGCAGGATCATCTTAATTTTGCGGCGGCCAACGGACGGCAGGCCTTCTTTCTTTTTTATTTAGTTGGTATCTACAGCGTGGCCGTTGTCAGCGACACACTCTTACACTCCCGGGATCGACGGGCCTAGAACAAACCGTACTGGCTGATTATTTTTCGGAATATATGGAGTTTTTCGAGTGTTTTTACTACGTTTCCTCTTTTTTGCCGAACGTCAGCACTGTAATAGCGTTGCCACCTAATCCAGCTGACTGTGCTGCCAATTATTCTTGAAGCCTGGCAATATCAAACCAGGGATAAGCACCGCCAAAATCCTTAAAAACTTTTCGTTTTAATTTGACTTTTACAATTTTATTAAAAACCAAAGCAACAGTATTTTTTTTTAAATATTGATAAGTGAGTACCAGAGGTGCCTTTTATAAATATATTTATGAATTCAAATATAATACAAAACAAACTTTTTAAATATATATTTTTATATGTTTTACATGAATTCAAACTTAACGTTTGGTTTATAGGAAAGCGTCTACATTTTGGTTTATAAATTGGTAGTATTCCGTTTATTTCTTGATATCACTGTTTATAAGGAATGTAACGTTTTGATACTAAATTGGGTTAATTTCTTAAAAATGTTTATTAACTGTCCATAATAAAAGGTAGGAAATGTGCAGTGAAAATAATCGATAGTTGCTGGCGAACGTTAGAGTCGATCTTTCAAAATGCCTAGAAACATCGGTATTATCGAATAAACATCGATTTTCGTTTCAGCTCTATTTTAAATTGCAGCCACAAGAAATATACTGCCCTCCCCAAAAAGCAGAAAAATCAATTGTGTGAGCTTTCAATAAGCTGATAATAATTATAACTAAGAAACTCACCGTTCATAATCCCGCGCTTTTTTTACCAATCCATAGGAAACAAAAACAACATCAAAACGTGAGTAGAATTTAAAGTTCCATTGTAAGCAAGTATGTGTGTGTGTGTGTGTACGCCAAAAAATCAATTATTGTGACGTTCATGGTGTTGCAACCTGTCATAAGAAGATTAAAGTAATTTCAACAACTCAAATTCTTTTTTCTTAACTCTTAACAGTCATAGACTAGTACTGTCTAGTAATTACGCAAAAATTCCATCACTCACACAGACGCACTACCTGCAGAAAGAAACGGAAAGTGAAGTAAAATCCACAGATAGAAAGGAAAAAAAAGAGCGCAAAAATGACTTCCGATATCACCATGCAATTGATTGCCATTTTGGAGAAGACGGTATCGCCAGGTGAGTTGTACCTTTATATATATATATAATATTAAGCCAATGGGTTAAAGATTTTCATTTCTTTGATTGGCGGGAGGGACGCGCGTTATATGTTGCGCAGGGTTGCAATAAGCACTCGCATATGTTTGGTTGCTAGGGGCCTTCGCACACATGTGCATTTATATACATACATAAGTATGTACGTGTGTTTGTATATTCACCCACAGCAGCGTGTCTACATGTATTCGCAATAAATGCGCTCCTACAATTAAGGACTTATCAACCGCTTCCACCACATAACCTCACAAACGCTAGGGATCGATGAGGCGTCGTTTCGGAGTCACCATCGTATGTTTGGCGACCAGTTCTTCTGGTTGCCGATAAAAAAAAGCCTCAAAACTTTATGCCGAGATTGAAGATAAGGCATTTCAACACAATAAAATATACCCCTGTTTAAATTATATCCAACTCTAAACTATTTCTATATACACACATTATTCTGAGTATATAAACTTTAGTTTAACTTTCAATTTTGGGAACCGATTTCTAGATTATTCTACTTCTAATATCTGGCTGCAATGTTTTATTATAATTAAAACTGGTTTCTTTGACTAACTTTATTCTATTTTCAGACAAAAATGAACTGCTGTCGGCGAAGAACTTCCTGGAGCAGGCTGCGAACAGTAATCTACCCGAATTTCTCAAGGCGTTGTCAGAGATCCTGGTTAACACGACAAACAGTGCGGTGGCTCGAATGGCAGCCGGTCTTCAGCTGAAAAACCACCTGACCAGCAAGGACGAGAAGATCAGCCAACAGTACCAGGATCGCTGGCACCAGTTTCCCAGCGAGACCCGTGAGCTTATCAAGAATAACGTAAGTTAACATAGACATATTTTCAACTCCTAAAACACATTTGACTTGGTAGATCTGGAATCTTAATAACCACTAAATTCTTTCAGATTCTTGCTGCTTTGGGTACCGAGAACACAAGACCCTCCTGCGCCGCCCAGTGTGTGGCCTATGTGGCCGTGATCGAGTTGCCGATTAACCGCTGGCCCATGCTCATCCAGACACTGGTGAACAAGGTGGTCAGTGAAGGATCCAGTGAGATGCATCGTGAGTCGGCGCTAGAGGCGATTGGCTATATTTGCCAAGACATTCGTTTCGGAGTGCTAGAAAACCAGTCTAACGATGTGCTCACTGCTATCATACACGGCATGAGAAAGGTAGAACCAAGCAATCATGTCCGTTTGGCGGCCACCACGGCCCTCCACAACTCGTTGGAGTTTACTAAATCGAACTTCGAAAAGGACATGGAGCGTAACTTCATCATGGAGGTAGTGTGCGAAGCCACTCAGTGCCAGGATTCGCAAATTTGCGTAGCAGCCCTTCAGTGTTTGGTGAAGGTTATGACTCTATACTATCAGTTCATGGAGCCCTACATGGCGCAGGCTCTCTTTCCGATCACTTTGGCAGCCATGAAGGCGGAAAACGATGCAGTGGCTCTGCAGGGAATAGAATTCTGGTCGAACGTTTGTGACGAGGAGATCGATTTGGCCATCGAGAGTCAAGAGGCCACTGATCAGGGCAGGGCTCCGCAGCGGGTATCCAAGCATTATGCTCGCGGTGCTTTGCAGTTCTTGACGCCCGTGCTCGTCGAAAAGCTAACCAAGCAAGATGAGTGTGATGACGAGGACACCTGGAGCCCGGCGAAGGCTTCCTCCGTGTGTCTTATGGTGCTGGCCACCTGTTGCGAGGACGAGATCGTGCCTCATGTGCTGCCCTTCATCAAAGGAAAATATCGAGTCACCCAATTGGCGTTTCCGTGACGCTGCAGTGATGACCTTCGGTTCAGTGCTGAATGGATTGGAAACAAACACTCTGAAGCCTCTTGTGGAGCAGGCCATGCCCACGCTCATCCGACTTATGTACGATTCGAGCGTTATTGTGCGTGACACCACCGCCTGGACTTTCGGGCGCATCTGCGATGTAAGTAGAAGGGATTGCCAGCTAATCTATACCTCATGGCTTTTCTTTATTATTCAACAGATCATTCCCGAGGCGGCGATCAACAAGACATATCTCCAGACTCTGCTAGAGTGCTTCGTGAAGAGCTTAAAATCGGAGCCCCGCGTGGCGGCCAATGTGTGCTGGGCCTTTATCGGCCTTTCGGATGCCGCTTACGAGGCAGCGGTCACCACAGAGGGTGAGACCCCGGAGACCTACGCTCTGTCTCCGTACTTTGAGTACATCATCACCCAACTGCTTGAGACTACCGATCGATCTGATGGAGCTCAGGCCAATTTGCGAGGAGCTGCCTATGAAGCACTCATGGATATGATTAAGAATTCGCCGCTGGATTGCTATCTGCTGGTGCAGCACACCACGCTGGTGATTCTTGAGCGCTTGAACCAGGTGATGCAGATGGAAACGCAGATTAATAACCACAGCGATCGGCATCAGTTTAACGACCTGCAATCCCTACTGTGTGCCACACTGCAAAGTGTTTTGCGGAAGGTTCAGGAGACGGATGCTCCTCAAATTTCTGATGCCATCATGACCGCTCTGCTAACCATGTTTAACTCGAGTGCCGGAAAGTCGGGTGGCGTCCAGGAGGATGCCTTCCTGGCCGTTTCCACATTGGTGGAACTTTTGGGAGCACAGTTTGCCAAATACATGCCAGCTTTCAAAGACTTCCTTGTCATGGGCTTAAAAAATCACGAAGAGTACCAGGTCTGTTGCGCTTCTGTCGGCCTTACTGGTGACATTTTCCGCGCCCTTAAGGACCAAATGGTGCCCTACTCTGATGAGATAATGTCCGTGTTGATGAACGACTTGGCCGAACCGACCCTTCATCGCAGCGTCAAGCCACAAATCCTGTCGGCCTTCGGTGACATTGCCTTGAGCATTGGTAGCCACTTTTTGAAATACCTGAGCGTTGTCCTAGAAATGTTGCGTGTTGCGTCTAATCTGCAAGTGCGTGTTTTTAACTATACCTTTTTAATCAAATCGAGATCTTGACATTTCATTTATTCCTCAGAACGACGCCAACAACTTTGATATGAACGAATACATCAACGAGCTACGTGAGAGCGTGCTTGAAGCCTACACTGGCATAATCCAGGGCCTTAAGGGCACTGACCAGATGGCTCATCCCGACGTTTTTCACATGGAGCCACACCTTATGCACATAATATCCTTTATCAAGCGCATTGCCCAGGAAGGCAATGTGTCCGACTCAATGATGGCCAGTGCCGCCGGCTTTATTGGTGATCTTTGCACCTCCTTCGGTCCGCGTCTGTACCCTTTGTTAGACGATGCGATTATTACCCACTTCCTTGCCGAGGGCAAGCGCTCCAAGGGCCAGCGCACCAAGATGCTGTGCACCTGGGCCGTCAAGGAGATCAAGAAGATCAACAGCCAGGTCATCGCGCAATAGATTGCCTGCTAGAGGTTAATGTTTCCCTGCTTCCCACTAGACCCTAAAGATTGTATGTTATGCAGCCAAACTGGTGAGTAAATGGAGTTATTAACGTATACTTTCTCAGCAAATGATTGGCTGAGTTTTGGAAAACGTTTTTGTGAAACTATACCTAAAATTGTTCAACCAAAATCAACTTATTCTTAATAATGTTTACTTCAAACTTAATTTTTCTTTTTTATACATTTCTCTATTTTTGCAGTCCAGTCCGAATTCTCTGATTAAAAGATTCTACCTGCTAAGTTTGTTTGTCCGATCTATTGTTGCTGTGCAACTAGTAAATGCTAAGATAAAATGTTTAAAAACCCCAACTAGATCTAAGCTTAAAACCGAACCTCTGTTTCGATTTAATATTTTTTATAAGCCCTGTTAATATTCATGTGAGTTTTTTTTAACCCTTTATCGATTGTCCTCTCGCTCGGTAATGCAAACCCAAAAGCAGGCTGACCATCGACTAAAACATACAATATTGATAATTATCGCGGCATAGAACTATGACATTTATTTAAAAAAAAGAAAACATTGGCTTTAAGGGCAGCCTTCTTTTGGGTTTTGTTCCGTAAAACGGCGATTAAGTAGCCCGATTTTAAGCATTACCAAAAAGCTAACGAAGCTGTTATAAAAAAAATCCTATGTGAAATCTAAATTTATTTGTAAAAATCGGTAGAAAATATTTGCTTAAAGTATATAAAACACATTAAATGCACACCTTTGGAAACATTAACTTATAGCGGCTATAAGATCTGCACTTTAAGTTGTAAGATTTAATATGTATCTATCCTATTGCCCTAGCTATAGCCCAACAACAAAAAAAAAAAATATATAAAAAATATGTATGAATGAGTGTGAACTGAATGTGATGGAATGTGAACGAGTATGTATTAATATTATGAATAAGTATGCCTGCCTGTTGTCCGACATTTTAACTTCAATGCCAATATAGTTATGCTGTGATGAATGCTTGAGAGAAACTCTTTAAATGGTATTTCTTGTGATTGCGAAAACCCCCCACGAAAATGTATGAAAATGGATCAAGTATTCCTTTTTCTTTGGCGCGCGTGTGTATATCGGCGTGTTGTGTGATATTATCAATTAAGTGTAAGAATTGTTCTTAGTAAAACGAAACGAATGATTTTAGTTCTAAGAAAAACAAACAAAAAACAAAACAAATCAAAAAGATTTTAAACGGATTTGAATTGAAAATTTTCAAGCAAACGAAACGAAATGAAACTAAATGTAAATCACTCAAAGATGACTGAAAAACCAACCTAGCAACTAAACAAAAAAACGAAACACGAAATGACTTAGGGACGTACAAAGGCGGGGGCGTGGCCAGCTCTTAAGCAATAAACAGCGAAACAAAATCCAGAATAAATATACAAATATTTTAAAAAAAAAACAGCCACGCTTAAAAGCCCGAAACAAAGCACGAAATTATGAAATTATTTTACTTTTTGTGTATACTTTTAGGTGTGCTCTTCTTCTCATTAATTCCAACCAATGACGCTTAATTTTGCCTCTCACTTTATTTTATTTTGTATTTAAATGAAAATGGGGAGATTAGCAACGAAAAACAAAAATAAAACAGCAAGAACAACAACCAAACAACTACCTGCAGCACACAATACACATGTATGATTAATATATATATTAGATAAACGCAAGATACTAAAACTAAATACGCAACGGACCAGGGTATACAAAAAAAAGAAGAAAATAATTAATTGGAATAACAGGGGTGATAGAGAAAATCTCTGGTTCTTTTTTGAAATCTCTTCAAAACTTATGTTTCAAAAACTATAACTATTTTGGAAACATTCAGTTGGAAATACTTTTGAATAATTTAATAAAAGATTTGAAATAGCTGCACATTTCTCTAGCACCCCTGGAAAATCATAATTTACATAGAAGTATAAAACGCGCATAAAGACACTTACTTACATGACAGCTTAATAGGACAAAACAACGACATATACTCGTACTTCATTTAGTTACTTTATCATTATACAAACCATACAAAAACATAACCAGAAACTACCTTGCGAAAAAGACGCGACTGTGAACGATGAAAAGTAAAAAATAGAGGATTTAAATGAAATCAAAACTAACCGTTTAAAATCTTTTCACAATATTTAAACACACTAACTAGCAAGTGAAAGAACCGGAATGAAGTGAACAATTGTGAACTACTTTAGATAATAAGCGCACATTTAATATTAATACCAAACATGAATTTCAAAAATTGTTATAAAAGAATTCATTAAACTAAGCTTTAACTTTTTTCGATGAATTCTTTAGCTCAGCAAGAAAAGTTGTCATTTCAAAAATAAAAATCTTTCATTGGAAAAAAATGTCTCGTTTTGCAATAAAAAAAATATCGCACAGCCGTCCAAGAGAAAGAGAAAATTGTGAACATAAATGGAAAATCGTTTTATCAGATTTTAACATATCAAAAATTATAATTTTGAAATGGCAACTTTCTTATCGTATAGCACTCAAAAGAAAAACATCAAATTGCCAAAATTAATTAGATAATAATATTAGTGATGAATGATCGGATGTGCATGATGAAGATGGAATGACTGAATCCTTGGAAGATCGAAAGCGGAGCAACGCCTAAAGGAACTTTAAGGTTTATGGCTGTGTTATGCGAAATGTAAGTCAAGCTTAGAAGCTTTAAAATTCACTTTACTTTGTTTATTTAGAAGAATCTATAGTTGCTAATAATCACATTTCTTAACCTTTCTCCACAGGTGTGTGGATTGTGTATGATGACACCTGTGCATTGAATGATGATAATGATGATATATTATGTGATGATTGTCAATGGTTGTTTATGAAAGTGACAGTTGAGGAGGGAGAAGGAGTATATCTAGATGAAATCACCAACAAACTAAAACAAGTCACTCAAATCATTTAGCACAAATTTCTACCTTTTAAACATACTTACATTTCCCACTTTTATAAATAGTAGGAGTGCATGAAGCTGTGACTGAGTAAATTTGTATGTAAAACCATTCCAAAAACACAAATAAAATCATTAAAATTGAGGGGACTATTGAGTTTGTTACATTTTTAGATATTAATAAACAATTTCATGTCATTAGATTAAGGCTATCAATCTAAATATATAATGGTAAAAGGTTGAAAAGCAAGCTCCAATAAAAAGGACATGGTGGATCCACTTTTTGGATACTCCACTGTGTGAACTAAAGGGTTTTCAATGAGCTTGCCTTTCAATCCTTGATTCTTGAGTGCGAATGGTCGTCGTCTGATCAAAAATTATAAATAAATAAACTAAAAAAAACGCAACTGTAACTTTGCCTGTGATTCGATCATCTGTATGGAGTGTGCTGTATGAGAGTGTTGTATGGATTTAATATATATGGTACCTATTATGTAAGAAAAAAGCACCCCGCGCAGCAGAGAAATGATATTTTTTTGTAAACATTTAAAGGATTACAAACAAATTATACACAATTGCAAATGTGTAAACTAAAACTAAAACAAATTGAAAACGTAACATATGGTACTGATTTTATACTGAGAACTGAGACTTACTATATATACATACAACATACAACAAACAACAACAAGAACAACACAACCTACAACTTACTTAAGGACTCACAAAATTACTTTACGCGGGACTCTACACAAACACACAACATATACTAGAACAAATACTACCAAACGAAACGCCAACTAGTGAAATTTTACATCTACATTACACTAACTAACGTACATCATATGAGCATTATAATGGATTATCTTAAATATATATACTCTGACAATTGGTAACGCTGACGCGCGGTGCTTTAACCGAATTAAATATCTAGTATATATGTATGTGCTACTCGGTATGCTAGTTAATCTAATCCTAATTTAGCCAGTAAGTAGTAGGGATGCACGAGAGAACATTTATGACCCACAATTGCGATATGAAAGGAGAGAATCAATTATGTTACGTTATGTAGTATGCTGTATTATCAATTATCAAAAAAAAAAAAAATTAAAATTAAACCCTTCTGAATATCAAAGTGCGGCCTAACTGTTCCGAAACAAATTGTATGACTGATAGTTTGTACGCGAAATTTTAGCAAATGTAAAATGTGTCTGTGTGCAAGAGCAAGAATAAAAGAATTTTGAATGCAAGAGCAACAAAAAATAAAGTCTTTTATTTAAAATATGATCCTGGTTTTTTAATTATTTTTTTTTGGGAAATTCCTACAATTTGGCCTTTTCTGGAAGTGTAAGTACTCCCGAATTTAACAAGTCCTTCAGTTCCTGTGGTTTTAGATCCAATTCATCTATCAATTCTAGCTGCTTATCATCACTTGTTTTGGCCAACCTTCCCGGAGTTCTACTTAGCAGTGGAGCTGGACGTGGAACAGGCGCATCCTGAATCATCTCAAACGATTGCCTCTCCTTATTGTGATCGTGATTGTGAACATCCCGGTAATCCAGCACTGGATAAACACAAGCATCCACATCCTCAAAGATCTGTGACCATTCCGCTTGGGTTTTGGAAAGAAAAGCTTCGGTAAGGAGTTTCCTTCCCCTATCCTGATGTTCTTCACCAAATTGGGAGAGATCTTCGGGCAGTTTCAAGCACTGTTTTAGTAGCTCAAAGAACTGCGGTTCCAAGGCACCCACAGACATGTAGAGACCATCTTTCGTTTCGTAGGTATCATAGAAATATGAGCCTCCGTCGAGAAGGTTGTTACCCCGCTCCTTTCCCCAAATATAGAGACTTCGAGACATAAACAGCCAACTGGCTACATAAGCAGCTCCCTCGACCATTGATGCGTCTACCACTTGTCCTTTACCAGAATTATGGCGCTCCAAGAGGGCAAGACAAATTCCCAGTGCGCACATTACACTTCCCCCAGCGAAATCGGCAAGAAGATTAATAGGTGCAGTGATCTTCTCATGCCGCCTGCCCAACATGGAAAGTACTCCCGATATTGCCGCGTAGTTGATATCATGACCAGCCCGTGGTGCCAATCTTCCTTGCTGGCCAAAACCCGTGAGACGGGCGTAAATCAGGCGGGGATTGGCTTTACACAAATCCTTTGGGCCCAAGTTTAGTTTCTCCATAACACCCGGTCGAAAGGGTTCGATAAGCACATCGTATTTGTTTGCCAACCGGCAAACTAGTTGCTGACCCTTCGGGTTCCTCAGATCCAGGCTTAAAGTCCGTTTTCCTTGCTGTAGTACATCTAATTGGTTATCAAGAACCTGGTTGATTAACAAAGCAATATTAAATATTATATTTTGAGGATCGGAAACTGGTAACGCCCGGTTTGTTTACCTTATCGATGCGGGTCACGGTGGCTCCAAAATCGGTAAGGATCTTGCCACATAATGGTCCAGGAGCTAAACCCACGAATTCCAATACTTTTATGCCTTTTAGTGGCATTTTTCAAGGAGTTTTTAGCCGAAAAGCAATAAGTAAAGTAATTGCACTTTGAACGCCATTGCAATAGTGCTGCCAACTTGTCGGTGCTTTTAAATCTTATTCGTGACACGAGAGAAGGTTAAAAACGATGGTATCTAAATCGTTAATTTTTAGTTATCCATAAATACATTGAATCAATAAAGGCTAGTATGCTTTTAAAATATTATATTTACAGAAGTTTGGAGGGCCATTGGTTTTTAGAAATATATTGGCTTTTTATTTACTTATTGACGTGATTATCGTGATTTATAATTGAGCTTTCTAAAGCTCGACAACCCTTAGTTGGTAATTGATAATGCCAACTTGATCGAAACATTTAATTCGCAAAAGGGAAAAGCCGCAACAACATTCAATTACAATTACTGCAACTTACTTTTGGCCAAGGCTAGATAAAACAAAATTATCCGGAAGTGAGATCAGGATTTGACCCAAAAACAATGCCACAGCAACGGCGGAAGGTGGCCTTTAGTGGCAAGAAGAAGAAGGACCAGATGCTCCAGAAGCGGAACACAAAAGGTGAGAAAACATTGTGGCCACCTGTGAAAAAGGGGCGGAAAGAAAGGAAAATTGCTGCATCTATGACTAACAAATGTTACGCCGGCAGGTCCGCCCAAATATCTAAGAAGCACTCAAGAATCCTATGAGGATAGCGATGTGCCTGAAACAACGAGAAAACTTATGGAGCAGCCGTTTGGCCGTGGCGGAAATCGGAATAAGAATGTAAATCGTTATAATCTGCAGTTTTACCAGGAAGGCAAAAAAGAACTGGAGCAGATGAAACAGGAGGGCTTTAAGCCCTTCGAAGTACTCAGCCCTAAGCAGCGGGAGGTAGACGAAAGTTACTTCGCTGGCTGTGATTTTCCAGTTCGGCCACCTTGGTCATTAACAAACTCCAAAGAACAACTTGATCGCACCGAGAATCGGTACTTTAAGGTAGGTCAGTTCTATGCAGAGTTTTCCTGGTGATACTGGATATCCGCAAATACGATATTCTATAAACGATCAGAAACATTTTAATCTCTTTTTTTAGGAATATGTGGACGAGCTGCAGAAGAAGCAGCGTGCTGGTGACTCAAAGGAGCTCTCCCTGTTTGAGTTGAACTTGGAAACGTGGCGGCAACTATGGCGTGTCCTGGAGTTTTCGGACATCCTACTGATTATAGTGGATGTGCGCTATGCAACGCTGATGTTTCCGCCCTCACTCTACGACTACATCATCAACACGCTGAAGAAGCATGCTATTGTGGTGTTCAACAAAGTGGATCTGGTAGAACCGCATGTGGTAGTGGCCTGGAGGCAGTATTTCCACGAACGCTACCCCCAGCTACCAGTAGTGCTTTTTGCATCTTTTCTCCCACGTTCGCGCAAAGGAAGCCAACGTGGTCCACAAGCGCATCGCAGGAGCATGGAAGGAGTATATAACATTTACAAAGAATGCCAGCGTTATGTGCAGGGAGAGGTGAATCTAACGGCTTGGGAGCAGAAGATACGAGAGGATATGCGTAGTGATCAGTTGGACATACTGGATGATCTAACAACGGCCGTGGAGGGTGAACTAAAAATCAGTAGCAGCATCGACACCACGCCCCATGAGCATGTTAAGTATCACAGTGGAGTCCTCACCATTGGCTGCATTGGATTTCCCAATGTCGGAAAATCCTCGCTGATCAACGCTTTGAAGGGACGCAAGGTGGTCAGCGTGAGTCGCACTCCTGGACATACGAAGCATTTTCAGACAATTTTCCTGACGCCACTTGTTCGTCTGTGCGACTGTCCCGGTCTAGTCTTTCCCTCGAGTACTCCCAAAAGTCTTCAAGTACTTCTGGGCAGTTTCCCCATCTCCCAGCTGGCTGTTCCCTATCGCTCACTGAAGTTTTTAGGCGAGCATATGAATCTACCGCAGCTTTTGAGGCTCCATCTACCCGAGGACTACGATGAGTGGTCTGCGGTAGCTATTTCCGATGCCTGGGCATATAAGAGAGGATTCCTCACAGCCAAAGCAGCTAGGCCTGATCGATACCGAGCCGCCAATCACATTCTTCGCATGTGTCTGGCTGGTCAGCAGCTGTTAGTACTGCAGTTCTATCCGCCGGGCTTCGAGGAACGACGTGATCATTGGCTCCAGCATCCCGATTTGGCAGAGGTCAAGCAGTACCAGCAAGTGGAACTAGATGAGCCGGAAAGCGAAACCAATGGCGACACATCCTCCGTCTGTTCGGATAGTGAGTTTTTCATAAATAAATTCATAAAATATATTTTAATAAATTATATATTATATTTTTAAATCTCTATTTCAGCTGCCGATAGTGAGGACGAAGACGAGGACAGCTCCAATGACGAGACAAACGCCGATGAGGACGAGTGCGCCATCGAGGAGGACACTCCTAGGTCTCGCAATGTTTTTGCTTTACTGGAGGACGACTAGAGGGGGCATTTACCAATATATTTTGTTATTGCATCACTAAGTTTGCACTTATAATTTATTTTTTAACAATGTTTTGCTAAAAGAATTCCTTTAGTGAGCTGAACAATAAACTAAAACATCAGGATATTGAGGCAGATTAGATGTCATCTATTTCATCGGAGGAAATACAGTCCTCGCCCAGTCTTTCGTCTAGCGATAGAAGCAACTCGATGGCTCTGTTGGGAAAACAAAAACATAATTATAATTGTTAAGCAAACTGTTTTTAAACTGAACTAACTTGATCAACTGTTTTTCATATCCGTTTTCCTCGATGGGCGCCGGATACAAAGCCTTTTTCAGCAGCAATTTCTCGAGATTGCTACGTAATTCCAGGACTACATCGGCAGTTTCTTGATTGCATTTGAAGCTATTAAAAAAAAATTACTTTAATTTAATTTCACTAAATATTTGTTAAACTCACTAATAAGTTTTGGCCACGCATAAATAATGCGTATTTTGGGTCACTCCCGCTTCCACGCCGTCGCCAAAAATGATCAAAGCCATTGGGAAAACCATTGTGGAGTCAAGGAGGAAAAGATCGGTTGACTTTTGCCGCTGGAAATAGACAAAGTAGGCCGAATCGAAGCCACTTTCGCCGCTATTCACTGAGGAAGGATGGAAGTTTACGCGGCGTCCATCGTCCGTTGCCATCGTGTGAATAGCACGCACTCGATTTTTGAGCTGTCTTGATTTTCTTTGGAAAAATATTTATAAGCTCAAGGGTCATGGCAGTATTTTGATGATAGCTACCTCAAGTGTGCCATGTTAGGATAAAGACCCGCTCCTATAATGGCTCTCAGCAAAGGAATCTTCTCAGAATTCTTGTTGGATATGGTATCTTTGCAGTTCGAGGAGGTAAGAAACCTAAAAACCCAAACATCAGCTGTTATCTGAGTTGATCTTTTAATAATCTTACTTGTAGTTGTAGAGCAGCTCGCTGAACTGATTTTTCATCCTCTCCAGCTGCTGCAGTGTCATAGAGCTAAGGAAATTCTTGTAGCAAAAGTCGCGTTCCGTATGCGCCTGGCGATTTTCCCGGTAAGCATTAATGGTGTTGTGCACTAGGAGGTGATCACTTCGCATATTTCGAGCCATTCTCCGCTTGATCTCGTCCACTCGACTCTCTTGACCCAACGGCGAGTAGAATGGCGACTTAAACGACAAAGCAGCCGCCGCTGAGGTAATGGGATCCAAGCAACAAAAGAGAGCCGACATCAGTATCATCTTTCCCATCTGCGGATCGATGGGCAGTTTGGCAAGATGCATGCCCAGCGGAGTGAGGGTGCCCATCTTGTCCAGAGCTTCAATGCTTTTTAAGAAATTATATTACAACTACAGACTATGTTACTAATGATTAATCTATTAGCTCACCGCTTCAGTAGTTCTACACCAATCTTGATGGCCTCGGGATTGGGGGCATTAATCAGGGTTTGCAAGAACCGATACGGATCATCGATATGGAGCAGCTTCAAGCTTAAAATTATAGATTCCAGCTTGGAGCGAAGTATCTCTGGTGTTGGAATATCCGCCATTATATCTTCCCTAGCACGGCTGAATAGATTGTAACATATTCCTGGCCGGACACGACCTGCTCTGCCTTTCCTCTGCTGCGTATTTGCCTTGGTCACCCACACCTCCTCCAGTGTCTGTATATTCGTCTCGATGTCATAGTTGGTGGCTTTCGTGCGACCAGAGTTGACGACATAAACCACATCGTCAATAGTCACTGAGGTCTCGGCAATAATTGTGGAGATAATCACCTTGCGTTTCCCCGCCGGTGGACGCCGGAAAACAGCCTGCTGTTCCGCTGATTGCATTAGGGAATGTAAAGGAAAGACAGCTATGTGCTCCCGCCATCTTTGACCTTTTGGAGATTTTGGTTTGTCCAGAAGACTGTACAGCTGCGAGATTTTATCATAGCCCGGCAGGAAGACTAAAATGGCACCTTCCGGCTCATTTTCACATATATAGTAAACCAGATCGGCTATAAAATCAATGTCCTCACAGCCCTCCGATTCCGGAAGGCGCAACTTCTCCAGCACACGGCTGTCGTACGAGTTTCTGATGCGCCGTAAATAAGGTTCTATCATCGCCTCATGCATCATCCGGCGCTCAGGACGATCCCGCTTGGGCCGACGATCGCGGGACTTCTGGAACTCGTAATTCGTCTTAGCCAGAACATCTTCCAGATAGAGCATTTGGACGGGAAACATCACGCCTTCGATGCGGAACATGGGACAGTTGTTGAAATAATCACAGAAATCCTGCTCTCTCACAGTCGCACTCATAAGGATTACTTTCAGTTCTGGGTCTATGGGGTAGGATAACCTTCAAAAGACCCATTAATAGATCCGTTTCAACGCTCCGTTCATGGATTTCATCCAAAATCAAGACACTTAGATTGTGCATGAGTGGATCCGATTGTAGCTGCTGCAGTAAAACTCCTGTGGTGCAGTATGTAATAGAAGCTCTATCACGGGGTCTCCGACTCTCAAGACGAATCTGATAGCCCACCGAGTTGCCTAGACTCTCGCAACGCTCGTAACTAACCCATTCGGCGATGGTTATGGCCGAAATCCTTCGTGGCTGTGTACAAACAATGCGGCATAACGAGGCACAGCCCCGGGAAATAGCGTCGTCGAGGAGAATTTGAGGTACTTGAGTGGTCTTGCCACATCCAGTGCTGCCCACAATCAGGATTACTTGGTTTTCCCGAACAGCCCGTACGATATCCTCGGCGTATTTCATGGTGGGTAGTTTTGCCTTGCTGCCAGACGTTTCTTGCCATTCTCATCTAGCTTGCGTTGATCCAGTTCCAGCTGCAGCTTTTCGTCTAGCTTGGGACTGGCGTAGTCGACGCCTTCATTCTTTTTCTTCGTCTCCGCCACGAACTCCTCGAAGTTCACACTCAAAAGATGTCGAAATTGTCCCTTAAATTGGGCATCCACCTCGGAGTTTTCCTTAGCCGGTGTTCTGTTGTATTCCTCTATGAACTCCTTTACGCGCTCAAGGACTCCACCAGGAACGCTGACATTGCAACCCAAACGGATTTCAGCCTCTTTAGAGTCGGCGTCGTCACCGCGTTCCTTCTTTCGCTGCCGGGCGAGATTCCGGTAATACAGTCCGATATCCTTGCCTCTGAGACCTGGTGGACGGTTGCCCTTGCGAGCGTGGGAGCCTGAGGAGTCCCTATTACGTTGCATCCTATTCAATTTAGGCGCATATCCAGGAGATGAAAGAATCTTAACGAAAAATCAACAAAATCCGCAAAACATGCAGATCAGCTGAGAGTAGAGTAAGGAATGCCAACTCTCTTAAGACTTGAACATTTTTACTTTTAGTAAGGGTATCACGTAATTTTTAATATTAGTAGGTTTATATATATCTTAGAAATTTTATTCTCGTATCGACCAATATTAAATGACACTCAGTAAAACATTACTCAGTTAATATTAAAATGTTGTTAAAATTTAAACGTTTAAATTGGGATTGAGTCTTGGCTTAAGGTATTTTCAAGAGAATTTTCTCTAAGCCGCCTGGTATATCTGAACGATCCAGCAACGGTCACACTAATTCCGATCAATTCAACGCGCTGAGCGAATGGAATCGCTTGTGTTAAAATTTGTAATTTTTTGCGATTAACGGCCGCGTAGAAACAGCGATCTTCATGCCAAGTGGCCAAAAAACGTGAACAGCCAAGTGATTACGTTGCACAAAGTGCCGGATAACCGATTGTGTTTGATGTGTCATTTGCAGCAGACGAGCAACAAGTGGCCAAAAGTCAAAAGCAAAAGCAACAACTAAATAAGTAAGAAATAATACACTAAGAAAAAACTGTGCTTAGAAGTGGTACTGGTTTAAATTTTTGTGCCAAGCGTCGCCCAATAAAACAAACAAAAAGTAGGAAACCAAAAACAACAACCACAACAAAAGCCGTTTGATCGCGAGTTTGCGTGAGTGTGTGTGTGTGCCTTGAGCGTGCCTGTGTGAGAGTGGCAAGCCATTATTTTTCTGGTCTTATGACGTAAACCACCGAAAAAAAATCAAAAGTGAGCAGGCGACACAGATATCAAAACGAAGGTGAGCGCATTTTTACCAATTCTCGCTTCGTTTCTTGGAATTCCAGCGGTTATTAGACGTTTTTATACTTGTTTACATTTTCGCAGCAGTTGCAGCACACACACACAAATGCACATAAAGTTAGGAAGAGATGGAGCGGGTAAAAGAGACTGGTGCAGAAGGGAGGAAAAGAGATGCAGTGCATGTAAACAAAATAGAGAAAGAGGCAATTGCTGTAAATTCTTTGGCAAAAGAAATCTTGTTGAAAGCATTTCCTCCACACATGCTTATGTATTAAGCGACCTGAAAAGAAATTGTTGCCCTGCTTGAACTTGTCGCTCCACTCACATCTCCTCCTCCTTCTCCTCTGCCTCCACCTCAGCCTCCTACTTCTTTCACTTCTCCTCTTCCCACACACACATACCACTCCATTCACAATTGGCCTTTTGCGGAGTCACAATAAATATTAAATTTGATTTCTCTAGCCTACCATTGTGAATGATTTGCCGACAGTTGGCACGCCCATTCGATACACTTGCAAAATATCCTTAAAATGTGGGAATTTTAGGTAATAATAGGAAAAATAAGAAAATAGATTAAAAATATTACATATAAGATAAGACCAATGCTAGTTAATTAATATTAAACATTTTTATTCCTCATAATTTGTACATCATAATTTCTCCCTGTGCAGCGGGCAAGAACCATCGACAAAACCTGTTGCTCGTTTGCCTTTTTTATTTAGCTGTTTTTTACCTCTCCAGCTGCTGTGATTCCATTAGTGATTCATTAGATGCGTTGGCCAAAGCTAACACAAAAAGCTAAAGCATGTTCCCACCGCATCCTTCGATAGAAGCCAATTCAAATGCTAACGGCCTGCATTTTAGCCTGGCCAAATGAATCACTTAACAATCATATATTTTAGCCCGTCCCTCTCTTTTCCATCTTTTTGTTTTGTTCTTTATTTAGCTGTCAGAGCTATTTCCTATTTTGGCTTGCCGCGATAATCGCATCATTTTGTAAATTTAGTGCGCGTTATTAATGAATTTTTGTCCAATTTGCGTTGCTTTTTTGTTTATGTTTTTAATCAGCCGTTTTCACGCTTCGAATTGTTTGGATAGCACAGTGGTTACGTTTAAATATAAAAATAAAGTTTTGAAAACTCATATGTTTAAAAGTTAATTATATTTATCTTAATCTTTGAAAATGTAAATTTTTATTAAAAATTTTTTTTAAGTTGTCAAATTAGCCTATTTATAAAATCCACTGTAGTTGAGCCCCCATTCTCCTTATTATGTACGTGTTAATTGAAAATTCCACACTCCGTTGATGTTGAATCGACATAATGGGCAACCCAGATAATTGTAAATAAGCCCGAGCTGATAATGATCGACCACCTCCCAAGAATCCAATCCATCGATTGAATGCATTCGTTGGAAAACCATCAGAAATCGCGGTCTGTTCAGTTCTCGAATAAATTGTAAACAAATAACAGCTGTGCAAGTTGTTCTTCCACCAAAAAAACTTTCAAAACTGCGCATGTCTCAAAAATTGTCAGTGGCCTTTGTTTAGTTTTCGTTTACTTATTCACCGAAATGCGTCTCAAAAAGCTGGGGTTAGGTTTTCTCTCTTGAAATTAAAGAAAATTATCTTTAATTATATTTCCTTTTTTACAGAATGTCTCGTCACGAGAAATCAAAATCAACGGGGGGAGGAATCTTGGATAGCCTTTTTGGAAGGCCCTCGAAATCCAAAGGTGGAACAATCAGCAGTGGAACTTTAACCCATGGCGGACGACCAGTATCAACGGATAACTATGTGGTGCCGGGCGTGGAGGACTTTGAGCAGTATATCCAACAGCTGACCGTTGCGGAGCTGGATGCCAAATTCCTGGAAATCATAGAGGATATGAATATACCCAAGGACAAGAGGGAGCCCCTGCTGGCCAAATCGAAGGAGGAGCGTCAGAAAATGATTATGTGGCACCTGAAAGGTAAAGGAATATGTCAAATAATGTTTGGAAGTCGAAGTTTTTATACCCTTGCGGATATTACAAGAATGAATTGGGTAGTTCAATTTCATAAAAATATCATATACATTACAATCTAACAACTCGACTGTTAAAATTGCAACACCTTTAGCGAGGGTATAAAAAAGACCAGACAATCGATTTTCGTGCAACCAAGTTGGATGACTCTTTACCGTTCTTTGTTTTTGCCGTATTCCCGGTGTATATTGCATTCCATTTCTGATAAGATTAGCAGGTAACGGTACGTGTATCTCTGTGCTTTTACTTTATCGGTGTGTGTCTGCCAATTTACGGTTTTTGTTTGTTTTTTGGTTGCCAATTTGCTTTCCGTCCATGTTCGTTTCTATTTATTTTCATATCACATACCGTTATTTTACGGATATGACTTTTTTTTAATTTGTTGACAATTATTAGCATTGATAGCTGTGATGTCAACGATCTTTTTGAGAAGTGCACAAATTCGTTCTTAAGGAGTTAAGACTTAAATATTAGTAAGGGGAAGGAGTTGGGAATTATTAAACAGGTGTGAGAATTAATTTTATATGATAGTACTTTGACTTTAATTATTATTATATAAAAAGTTTGACCGATATATTCAGCACAGTTATTTCTGATTCGACTGGGCAACGTTTTTTATATACACATTTGCATTTGTGAAGTTCTTTATAAAATATGTTATACGATAACTAGTTGATAAAGTGCTCAGTTTGTTATTAACGGTGCTTAACTTCTGAAGAAAAATTAATCATAACATTTGTTTGCTTATTTATAATATCTCCATTCAACTATTTATGGTATTAGTACTCCTCTGTACTCTACAAAGCAATTATCACTGTAGCACATCGCCAGCTCTACATATCTTTGGAATATTTCAATGCTAAGTCAGCTTTCAGCTTCATTCTTTGCGTTTCGCTCCAGTTATTTTCCCAACGGCCCATCGGCCCATGATGGTCCATTATCAGTCTTGAGAAGTGTAGAATCAAAGTTACTCTTATCGTTTGTAACGGTTAATTGCGCCACAACCTCGGACTATCTTCTACCCCATTTTATCAAGTAATACCAAGTGCTATATACATATGTACGTATATAATATATACGACGAATGCGTGACAAAACTCGAACGGCAAAAAATGAGAATGCAAAGACATTGAAATTTCCTTTACCATGCATATTATACAATTTAAATTACGTCAAGTGGCAGTGAGAAAATCATTTTTTTATTTCGCGCCTCGTTCTTTTTGTTGTATAAGCAAGTGCATAGCGAAAGTGGGAGAGAGATAGGCTAGGGGGATAGGCTAGTTGAAGGCAAATATACACTGAAAAAAATGAAACTACATATAAATGATCTTTGAAATTTCATAATTTGATTATAAATCGAATTAAATATATAAATTCGTAAATACAAATGTAAATAAATTTTTAATTTATTCTCAGTTTTGTTCTTTCATTAAGAAATAAGAAACAATGATTCTTTCTTAATGTAAAAAATGTAATTAATAATTGGCCCATCTGAACTTTCAGTGCAGTAGAACAGAGAGTTTCGTTTTTGCTCTCTCAACCTTTATGAGTGATTTTCCTTACACTTTGGAACGACCATAAAATGCAAATATGCGAAAACGTTAAACACATTATGACAAAATCAAGCTGAAAATAAATTCTGATGCTCAACTTGAACGTATCTTATAGGTGCAGATATAACTAGGAGTAAAAAGTAAAAGAAAACGAAGTAAATATTTGTGGGTCGTGTTTATTGTGGCAGAACCCCCCCCCCAACCACTTGTTGCGAAATTAAATTTAAAACACAAACAATGGACTGGCTGACAACAACAACAACAACAACGAAACACTCGCACAAAAAGCTGTTCATTAACACGCTTCGTTTGGCGTTTTGAGTTAATTAATAAAACAGTTAGCGTAGTTGAGTTTTGATGGATAAACGTTAATAAAGTGTGGGCAGGGTTTTGGCCAATTTGAATGATGTCAGTGGTGCAGGTAATCAAATAGAGGGGTGGGCTGCCTCCACAGGTGGTAACTCTTGAAGGTTGAAAGTTAGAAATTACTATTTAACTAGCCTTAATATTCAGTCTTAGGGTAAAGTTTTTAGACAGCTTCCCAGTGTAAATACTACTAAATAAAATAACGTAAAGCATCGAGAATAGGTTTTTTATTTACAATGATTTTTACCCAATTAGCATGAAATTAGCTAATCACATATCAAAATTGTTTTATTATATTATAATCATATTTCTAACTATGATTATACGTCACTTTAGTTGACAACTCATTAGCGTTAATCTCTCATTAATTAACTGGTTTTCTTATCAAACTGCCAATATATTATTGTGGGAAAGTATAAGGTTCTTTGTAGAATGAAGATAGGGTCGTATGATTCACTTTTGATATGACTAAACTCAGAGGTGTAGCCAGTGGGGTTCCAACCTACTTCTGTAAAATGAAACACCTTGAGGTTTGGTATGTTTTTATCTAAAAATTGCACCAAATGTGAAGTGAATCATCTTTTTAATTTTTAGTTACAAATTTATACTCTTAAATTAGGTGTATGATTTGACGTTAAAGTATGATTTCTGATATTTTATTACCTTTTCTTAAAGCTTATAATCGTTTCTTTAAAAGATAAAATGTTAAAGCCTAGCTTATAGAAGTTTTAAGTGAGGTCTGAATTTTTATAGGCAATTTTGTTTGATTGCAATGTAATGTACACTTTGTTAAGCCTTAAACTTCAAGAAAATCCATTCATTGATGTAGCTAAATGTACTTAGCTTGATCTTATTGTTATCATCATGAACTAGCTTTAATCTTATTCAGTAAATTCCCTCACTGTAATACAATCCGATACTCATTCCAATTTATCTTCTAGGTAAAAACTCACTGGAGCGCAGTGCAAATTCCCGGTTCGAGAAACCCATAGACTACGTGGAGTATCTGCAGAATGGGGAGCACAGCACGCACAAGGTGTACCAGTGTGTGGAATCTCTGCGTGTGGCGCTCACCAGCAATCCGATCTCGTGGATCAAGGAATTTGGAGTGGCGGGGATTGGTACGATCGAGAAGCTGTTGGCCCGGTCAAAGAAGGATGCCAGCTATGAGAAGATTGAGTTCGAGGCGATACGCTGTCTAAAGGCGATCATGAACAATACATGGGGTCTGAATGTGGTTCTCAATCCGGATCAACACAGTGTCGTGCTATTGCTGGCGCAATCTCTGGATCCCCGAAAGCCGCAGACCATGTGCGAGGCCCTCAAATTGTTGGCCTCATTTTGTATTGTCTATGAGCGTAATGGCTATGAGAAGGTCCTCAGAGCCATAACCACAATAGCAGCCACATCTTTTAAGGCCAGCGAACGCTTTCGACCCATTGTGGATGCTCTTTTTACCACAGATCAGCTGGATCCCAAACGGGAGTTGGCCTGTCACAGCTTGATTTTCATCAATACTCTCACAAATACTCCCACGGATTTGAATTTCCGCCTGCACCTGCGTTGTGAGATTATGCGGATGGGTTTGTACGATCGTCTGGATGAGTTTACTAAGATCGTGGAGACCAGCAATAATGAGGCACTGCAGCAGCATTTTAAGATCTTTAACGAGATCCGCGAGGATGATTTCGAGGAGTTTGTCCAGCGCTTTGATAACGTCACCTTCAACATGGATGATGCCACCGATTGTTTCGATGTGCTAAAGAACCTAGTGACTGACACCACTTCCGAGCCCTACTTCTTGTCCATCCTGCAGCATTTGCTGTACATCAGAGATGATTTCTACTTCCGGCCTGCATACTATCAACTTATTGAGGAGTGTATCTCGCAGATTGTCTTCCATAAGGGCTACTGTGATCCTAACTTTGAGAATAGGAACTTTAATATAGACACCTCCCTGCTGTTGGACGATATTGTGGAGAAGGCCAAGGCCAAGGAGTCCAAAAGATCGGAGGAGTACGAGAAGAAGATCGAGCAACTGGAGAGTGCCAAGCAGGAAGCGGAGGCGAAGGCGGCTCATCTTGAGGAGAAAGTCAAACTAATGGAGGCTAATGGTGTGGCGGCTCCGTCGCCCAATAAGCTACCCAAAGTTAATATACCCATGCCACCACCACCGCCCGGAGGAGGAGCACCGCCTCCACCACCGCCACCCATGCCGGGCAGAGCTGGTGGTGGACCACCCCCTCCTCCGCCACCTCCAATGCCTGGCCGGGCTGGTGGACCACCTCCACCACCACCTCCTCCGGGAATGGGTGGCCCACCGCCTCCACCTATGCCTGGCATGATCCGACCAGGCGGTCCACCACCACCGCCTATGATGATGGGTCCTATGGTTCCAGTTCTTCCTCATGGTCTTAAACCGAAAAAGAAGTGGGATGTCAAGAATCCCATGAAGCGCGCCAACTGGAAGGCTATTGTCCCAGCCAAAATGTCCGACAAGGCCTTCTGGGTTAAGTGTCAGGAGGATAAGTTGGCCCAGGATGATTTCCTCGCCGAGCTGTCCGTGAAATTCTCCTCTAAGCCCGTAAAGAAAGAGCAAAAGGATGCAGTGGATAAACCGACGACGCTGACCAAGAAAAATGTCGATCTGCGAGTGTTGGACTCGAAGACTGCCCAGAATTTAGCCATCATGTTGGGAGGATCGCTGAAGCACCTGTCATACGAACAGATCAAGATCTGTTTGCTGCGCTGCGACACCGCCATTCTGTCCTCCAACATCCTGCAGCAACTTATTCAATACCTGCCGCCGCCAGAGCAGCTTAAGCGTCTGCAGGAGATCAAGGCCAAAGGAGAACCGCTGCCACCGATTGAACAGTTCGCTGCCACGATAGGTGAGTGGAATATAGTTTCGGATACAGAAATATATTAATTTGATTATTTTTCAGGGGAAATCAAACGTCTTTCACCGCGTCTTCACAATCTAAACTTCAAGCTTACTTATGCGGATATGGTGCAGGATATCAAACCCGATATTGTGGCAGGAACAGCAGCTTGCGAAGAGGTCCGAAATAGCAAAAAGTTCTCCAAGATTCTGGAACTTATTCTTCTGCTCGGCAACTACATGAACTCGGGCTCTAAGAACGAGGCTGCCTTTGGCTTTGAGATCAGCTATCTTACCAAATTGTCAAACACAAAGGATACTGATAATAAGCAGACACTGCTGCACTATCTGGCTGATCTGGTGGAGAAGAAATTCCCAGATGCCCTGAACTTCTACGACGATCTATCGCATGTAAATAAGGCGTCGCGGGTAAACATGGATGCCATCCAGAAGGCGATGAGGCAAATGAATTCGGCGGTGAAAAATCTGGAAACTGATCTGCAGAACAACAAGGTGCCGCAGTGTGATGATGACAAGTTTAGTGAAGTGATGGGCAAGTTCGCTGAAGAGTGCAGACAGCAAGTTGATGTTCTGGGTAAGATTTATCCTCAGGAAATATAAGAAACTGAACTAGCATTTAGCAGAAGAATCAAATTAACTAACATTTTGTAATTCTTACAGGCAAAATGCAGCTGCAAATGGAGAAGCTGTACAAGGACCTCAGCGAGTACTATGCCTTTGATCCCAGCAAATACACTATGGAGGAGTTCTTTGCAGACATCAAGACCTTCAAGGATGCCTTCCAATCGGCGCACAATGACAATGTACGAGTTCGTGAGGAACTGGAGAAGAAGCGACGCCTGCAAGAGGCCCGGGAACAGTCTGCCCGTGAACAGCAAGAGCGCCAGCAGCGTAAGAAGGCAGTGGTCGACATGGATGCGCCACAGACGCAGGAAGGTGTAATGGACAGTCTCTTGGAGGCGCTGCAAACGGGCTCTGCCTTTGGCCAGCGTAACCGACAGGCCCGGCGACAACGACCAGCGGGAGCGGAACGGAGGGCACAACTCAGTAGGAGTCGATCGCGTACGCGGGTCACCAATGGGCAGCTAATGACCCGTGAGATGATCCTCAATGAAGTATTAGGCTCCGCGTAGAAATGATACCAACCAGCAATTCCCCTCTGTACATATATAAATAGACATCTATAGCGATTTAAGGGCCTAGGATCATTAGCTGAGTACATATTTTTTGAATCCATGTGTGTTTTAGCCTTGTTTACATATCAACTCGATTGATGAGATTTAACAAAAGAATTTGGATGGCCAGCAGGGAAAACTGTTTCAATAGCCGCAAAGTACTAAATATTTGGGGATAGTAGAGGTGATTTTTCGACTATTATTCATTGCTGTTTGAAAGTCTTTGATAGTTTTATAAATTTTTCATTTTCTGTATTAGTTATTTGTATTTTTGATTTTTTATCACTTTGCTTAATTGGATTTTATTATGAAGACCCAAAAATAACTTGTAATAATGTTTTTAAATCTATTGGTGGGCTGATTTAAGTTCAAATTTAATCATTTCATTCACCGCCTATATACTCTATTTATAATCTAACATAATTATTCACATTTAGAAATATTTTCCTAATCTTTTAAACTAGCAATGTACGAGATCGAAAAATCCATCTCCGCTAATCCCTACGAAAAGAAGATATATTTTTATACGATTTTACTTCTGAAATTGCGAAAGAAGCGGCAACTGAGGCCTATTTATTTTCTAAATACTTATAAAAGGAACTGAAAAATCGAGTCGGAATATTATTATTATCGAATGATCTGTATCTTGTGGTTCTTAACACACTGTATTCCTATTTTACTGCGGCATGTTCTGATCATTTTGTCGTGCACTTCGTTTTCGAGGCACTCACTAGGGCGAGATATATATCAAAATGAAATTCCTTTTGTATTTAATTTGTTTTTAAGCGAAACTCTTTTAAATTTGTTTATTTTAAAAGCTTAATGTAATCCATGCTATAACATAACATTGTTAATTAATACCTATTTTTTTCGACAATGATCGTATATTGAAAATAAACTTTTACCAAAATTATAAATCTATTACTTTTTTTAACATTTTTAATGTCGGAATTAGAGTTTTAAAGGTAATTAGTTTCTAATCTTTATAATTATTTTAGTCATATCTAAGAAACAAGACTAGACTTTATTATATTTTTGCTATGTTGTGTTTATGATGCAAACAACCTTTGACAAAGTATGTGAATAATAGCCGCCTGATCGACATTCGCCATAATCTTGGGAAAGTTCACAAAAAGGCTCGGCAGCGAATCCAAAAATAATTTTGGGCTTTCCATACGAATATGACTTGCCGCTTTTTGTTGCTGTTGTTTTTCGTCTCCACTTTAATTTGTTTTATTAACAAAGATATTTTATCGCTAATGTCGCGGCACCCATAAAGGTGTTTGATTGTGATGGTCGTGGTAGAGGTGAAGGAGGAGGCGGTGGCTCCGTACAACGCAAAATGCACTTGCCGTGGGATCGGCTGTAAGGGGTTATGCGTGGAATGAAGCGGGTTTTGGTGGGGTTTGGCCCGAGGCCATAATCGTCATAAAACTCTCCAAAACGTAAAACGAACCGACAAACGGCAAATGCCGCACGACAAAAGACACATCCACATCCATATTCATATCCGTCTGGTAACGATATACCATATATATATAACTTATTATATCGGTTTTAGTCTGGGACATATCTCTAAATTGTCTGATTGCCCCTGGAGTTTTATTTTGGAGTCTGCTTTATGGGCCCTGGCGCTTGCTTTGCTTTCTTTATGGATTTATTAACATAATTGAAGGGAAATACATATATAAATGCCATCGGGATCTTGGCAGGTTGTTAATGTCGTATAGAGGGACAGATTCTAATTTACGATGCCCAGATAGAGATGCATTAGAGTGTTTTACAGATCCGAATAAATCTTTCATTGATAAAAAGGTTATGTGGAATTTGAAATTTTGAGGGGATGATTGCTGATTATAAACCCTCAAAGAACCTAAAATGATCATTATTTTTAGGAACATTTATCCTTTAACCAACTTTGCATTTTGTTTAAGTGCTTTGAAAGTACAATTTTGTTTAGTTTTTTTATGAAATTTCAGAAACTTGATTACTCTATTTATACAGAAAGTGATACAATCACTATCACAATCAAAGTCTCAACAAAGATCTCAAAGATGCGTGATTCATCTCACGTGATTCATCTAGAATGAAGTTACCATATGTTTACATAGATCACTTAGGGATTAGCCTTTTTGTGTGCCCCTAATGACTTCCAGGTAACATGATAGACTGTTACATGACTTGCCCGTGTGCCTGGGATAAAACGTTAGAGCCCAACCTTATAGACCGTACCCTTCCCCAGGGCCCAGCCCACGCAGTAAATTCTGCCGAATTGTTGACGGTTTGCGAAAAAGAAAAACGACGGAAAAAAGAACAAAATCTGGGCTGTGGCTGTCTAATTGTTGTGTGAACTTTATTGGCCCAAACCGATGGGCAGGTCAGCCCACCAAGCAGCACCACCCTATATACCTTATAAGCCTTGTTTGGTGTCCCCGCATTTTTCCATCGCATCCTGAATTTTGGTCTTTAGGTCGCCTTCGCGTAATCATAAAATCACCTTTTCTTTCCACGGGCCCTTTCGATTGTTTTACAATGTATCTTTTTGTCTTTAGGACATTAAGGGGTTTTTTGTTTGGACACGATCCCGAACCAGTTTCTGGTAGTTCAGCGTTAATAAGTGAGTTTTAAGTACCTTCCTCGCGAGGCCAACTGCTTCTCGGATGCTTCTGTTACCGTTCTCGGAGTCCTGGGCCCAGGGATCTTGGTCCTCTTCCATTGTGTCAGCTGCATTCATTTCTAATTATTTGACGCGACATTTTATGTTTTATGATCACTCTGCCGACGATCATCGCGGCTATCAATGAATTTATTTTTTTAAGGAACTCTGCAGGGTTTCTGGAAGTCTTAGGGATTACTCAATCGGCGCGAGCTAAGCGCGTCTTGTTTGGGATTACAATTGGGATTAGTGAGGGTGTTTAGTTTTTCGAAGAAAAAGTAATAAGAATGGCGATGAAGAGGTTGTAGAGGAATTATAAATTGGTCAAGAGTATCAAACCTTGGAGTTTGTTAATTTTAATTTTACGGAGTTATGCAATGGTAGTATGTTATGATCTTTTCAGATCACATAAAATAAGGATAGTTTATAATATAGGAAACGAAAATAAAGAAATATAATTACAGTAAATTGTATATCAAAACCCCGGAAAGCTGATTATTTTATAGATTTTTAAGTTTATTAAGTAATTTCTTATAAATAGTTACTATTATACGTTTATTATGCCTCTTTAGTGCCGCAATTTGAATCATTTTGATTCGTTATATTGGCAATAATATAAGTATTTGGGACATTTGCAAATTTATCATAAAAAGTGTGTCAGCTATAAATTATAAAATTATTTAAATTTATTATTGCTATAAATACGTTGATAAATTTAAAGGTTTTATGTTAGAAAACACTTCTTATAAAAGAGTTTATTGTTAAATTAAACTATTTATAACATTTTCCGAATTATTTGTAACTTTGTAAGAAGTTTTTTTTATTATATAAACTTTGTGGAAAATTTCAGTTACCAGCATATAAAGTAAAAGTATCTTCACATAAACAACTTTGATATATACAAGTAGATAATGAAAGGTATATTCAAAACTAAAATGCTACCATTTAAATTTGTTAAATTTTATTTTAAACATTTAAATGCCAACAAGGTTTGGCTTAAAAATAGCTAAAACCTTATCGATACTTTCAAGTTTTGTATACACTTTGTTTCATTATTGTAACTACCTTTAAATATTGCATAATAAATGTGTATTACACGTAGCGCCTTATCAATGCCAGACTTCTTCCGCTTTCGTTGTATTCCTGTCGATTTAATACCAGTGCTTACATGACAATTATGGCTTTAGCTTTACAGCTATGTATAACTAAAGTGCTATGGCTATAGCTAGGCGCCCATATAAACGACAATTGCTTGGCAAATAACAAATATCTTTGGACAATGGAGCTCTAACAACATCAAATGTGTGGTTTATTTATATGGAGAATAAAATCTGGAGGGTAAAACATTGATTGTTCTCCAGATTAGAGATATATATCCACAGTTACGACCGTGGAAACATAATTTTACAGCCACTAATTGCATAACACACACGCATCTGTGCAATTACTTAATTAGCCAACGGCAATTGTAATTAAAGTACGTACAAATCGAAAGCGGGCCATAAAGGAAAAGGGGTTTTGTCTTGGCCAAGAAATTACAACAAATTGCTTACCTGGCTTAAAGGGGCGTGGCTACCTACTTGCCACCAGCCATCGCAAAGCCGTAAGAAAGAAACAGAATATAACCCAGAAAGAGATAGCAATTTAGACACACAAGCCATCTTGTATTTTGAATGTGCAACGGAAATGAGGGTTAAAAAGTCGCACCTAATGGCATTTTGTGTGTGTCAGAAGGAGACGACCAGTGTACGTTTCCCGTTTGTGGTTGTTTTTGTTTGAGCCTCTCTGCCTGTTTTATCTGATTTTCTGTTGCTTTGGGTTTTTTATCAGTCGAGTTTTGCTTTACGTTTCAGTACGTGTTCGACTTGCGTACTGAGTTGACGTCGCCACACAACGGAATAATATTCAAAAAACAGTAAAATATCCCAAACAGCTAATCAAAAAAATATCCCATCTCGTGAGTGAGTGATTCCAATAACAAAATAGTGATTCGAATTATTATCGATATCTCATTTGTGTGTGATTGTTCCGCTGAAACACACATCACCAGCTTAGTGATAACTGTAAAAATTGACAAAGCAAAATATAACTTTAGCCAAAACTTCAGAAAATGTGCAATCAATAAAATATTGGCTAGCAAGTGGAGAAGACAAAAGCTTTATAGAGGGATTTTAAATCGGACAAAAGATTACGAAGAAGGATTATAGTTACAAGAAAGCTTATCTTATTTAACCTCAAAAATGGTTTCGCACTACTACAATACACTGCCCTACACGCAAAAGCATAGTGCTGCTAATTTGGCCTATACCTCGGCTGCGGGTCCACCCTGGAACTGGACCACTAACTACCATCACACGCCGCCAAACCATCAGTATCTGGGCGATGTGGACTCATCGCATGCCGCCCATCATGCGGCCGCTGCCCATCAGATGTACTATAACTCTCATCACATGTTCCATTCGGCGGCGGCGGCCAGTGCCGGAGATTGGCATTCACCAGCCTCAAGTACCGCGGATAACTTTGCCCAGAATGTGCCGACATCGGCGCACCAACTGATGCAGCAGCATCATCATCACCATACCCATGCCTCGAGCAGTTCGGCCAGTTCCGGTAGCAGCAGTAGTGGCGGCGGTGCTCCAGGTGCCCCCCAACTTAACGAGACCAACAGCAGCATTGGCGGAGGTGTAGGTGGTGGTGGTGGTGGCGCCACTGAAGGTGGTCCCGGTTCCACGGCACCCAATCATCAGCAACATATTGCCGAAGGTCTGCCATCGCCACCGATTACAGTTTCTGGTTCGGAGATCTCAAGTCCCGGAGCTCCAACTTCTGCTTCGTCGCCGCATCATCATTTGGCCCACCATCTGAGTGCCGTCGCTGGCAACAACAATAATAGTCCATCTACCCATAACAACAACAATAATAATTCGGTGAACAACAACAACAACAGGACGTCGCCATCGAAGCCACAATACTATGAGTGGATGAAGAAGCCCGCCTATCCAGCGCAACCGCAGCCAGGTGAGTTATTTTTTTTTAAATTCTAGGAATATTATTTTTGTATTAAATCGTATTTTTTAACCATTTCCTGGTTAAAATGTTAAATGTTAAAGTTAAAAAAAAAGTATAAAAGAAAGGTTTTTAACTGAAACTTTGAACCATTTCCCAACTTCTTAGTCACTCCAATCAAGTATAGTTGAATTTTGGAGTGACCTTCCTTACCTCCTTCCCTGGCATATGGGTTTCTCCCGCATCCGCCTCGTCATATTTGGAATTTCGAAGATTTCGTATTCCTACGCAACAGTGCAATGCATTGTCTTTCCAAACTGAAGCTCAAGCTCGTGCTGTTCGCGCTTTGCCCCTCCCTATACCGCCATCGTGTATATGGGACTTTATAAGAAATCGTTTACCTGCCGCGGTTCCAAGTCCGATTGCCAATTAGCTCATAAAAATCAAATTCTGTTCAAGCTCCAGTTTTATGATATATTCAGTTGGGGTACCTCGAGAGAAAGAGAGAGAGATCCCCCGATTCCGACGCCTTGATTTATGGGCATGCCCTGGGTTGTATGCGTGTTTGTGTTTGTTTGACTCTGTCTCGATGGATTCTATTGACTAATTTTGTATCGTAAATCAATTTAACTATAAAAGTATCCAAATGGTTTGATCAACTTTTTGGTAAACCTTTCAATATTTAATGGAAAAACTAAACAAAGTAGATGACTTGAAAGAGAAATGAATGAAGGCATGAAAGTGTGTAAGAAGTTCAGGGGTTAAGACTCGATCTCACAGTAATTAGCATTGTGGTGGAGTGTCTAATTGGAGGTTTTCAAAGGTTGGGAGTAGTTTGATATTTGATTTGTTAAATTTATACGTTTTTTGAATGTTTTTGGTTCTATAAATTCTGATTATAAAATAAGATAATATCTTAGACTTAAGATCAAAGTTAACCCCCTTTATATGCACTTTTCGCCTTTAGTTCATGCAAATTGCGATTATTTTGTTTACCTTCCGCCCACACCTTTTGAGAAAAAGAGAAAAAAACAAGCAAAAGCAATGCAAATGTCAATGCAGCGATCACAAACATAAGAAGGGAATAAACACTCACACATTTGCTCACGATTTATGACCCCGGGGCGCATGTCAAGAAAAATGAGGGAAGAAAAAAGAAAGAGAAGACGGCGAAGCGACGATATCGACAATATCGGCGATATCCATTAAGCCCATAAAATCTGTTGGTATGCAATTAACGTTTATGGCCGTCGCCCGTTGCTGTTGTCGTTGTCGTCGTCGTCGCTTAATCCAACTGGTCAAGCCGACAAGGCAGCTTAAGTTTGCCATATTTATTATTCGAAAGATAACCCCTTCTTACCCCTTGAACCCCTTCACGATTTTAATGTTAACTTTTTGTTGTTATAAAAGGTTAATTGAAGGGTAAAGAGAGATCATTATTTCATTTTCCAAAAAAATGCTTTATTTTTGTGGATTTTTGTTTTGTTTGTAGTTAAAAATCAGGACTTTATAGTTTACAAAACTAATAATTATATAATTTAAAAACCAAACAAACTGCTATAAGGAACCAAGTGTACCTCCCAACTTTATTAATGCGATGACTAACATTTCGTGATTTTTAATGGAATTATAAAATGTTAAATTTCCATCATTTTGTGGTAGAGTGGGGGGCATGTGTGGCAAGGCAGGGAACGACACAGAAAGAGAGGGGGCCCCATTTCAACGCTTTTGGGGTGTGGCAATAAAACGGCGGTGGATCCAGATAGATGCCTTGTACTTTTGTTTCAATGGCTGGTGGTTCTGGCAGGTTTTGCGATTAGATTAGCTTTGGGGGGAAATCAAATAAACGCCCGCCCTGTCAATAAGTCCTGCTTTCCCACCCTCCTTCAAACCTCTATTACTAGTTCTATTTTTTGTTGCTTCAATAATGTACCAAAGTGATATGGAAACGTGGCCACAAAAAAAAAAAAAAGAGTTCGTTTTTTTGGTGTTATCTAAAACGTCAAAAGCATTGTTGATAAGCGATTCCGCGTTGCGTTTGCGACGGGCATATTGATTAAAACAATATAGGGCCATAAACCAATAAAAATTAGTATTACTTCCAATAAAAACTAAATAGCGACATTTACGATCAAATCTATGCAATCATTATTAAACGGCAAGAAATTCCAGTCTTGGTATTTGGAAATATTAAAGTAACTTTTTCTGATAAATCCATCTCTTTCTATACTTTTCCCCTTTAAAAATCTAAAAAAAATGCCAACTTTTAACTATAAAAACCTTTAATTGCATTATTTGCTGGCCATAATTTATTATCGTTATAATTTTCTCAGAGGAAATAAATAAATATAATTATCTACCAGGCCAAGGAGTTCTTAGTGGGATTGTCTGTAGATTTTCAGCATTGCCCGTGTTGGGACATAAAAACCTAATGCCACCTGACACATTGAGATTTAATGTGTCAATATGCACACAAAATTTATATCTAGTCACATAAATAATTGGAAAAGTGAAAGGGAAAACAAAGGAAAAGAGAAAGAGAGATATTTTTCCGATGCATCTGAAAAAGTTGTAGTATTTCAAATCAAATGCCATGGATAGAGGATACATTTGTGGTCTGATTTTGGGGCTGGTATATGGGGCTGGGTGTTGGGTGTTAGGTACTACCCAACCAACCACCAAGATAAGCCATTAAAAATGGCCACTAACTGCAGTCAAACTATGGTTCGTTTTTCCTTATCACACACACTATCAATGTTTGCCGATGACATTTACCCTTCCACCCAAAGTTTCTACCCCTCCTTCGAGAGGGGATGTGTCAAAAATGAAGTCGAATTTTGGTTCGGACTCTGATCAATATGGAGTGTGCGTTTGGCTTGGTTGATTGACATCATGGGATTAGCATAGAACTCGCTCTCTATTTGTCACGGACTTGTTACCATTGTGTCATTTACCTTGGGCTTAGTTAACCAAATACAGGAATACACAAAATCATGTTTGGGTTTTTCCTGTGCTATTTGTATTGGCTCTGATATTGGTAATAACCAGAAATTTTAGTCTTGTTCCAAAGCCCTAGACATACAGTCATGTCTCTCTATAGGCTTTGTATATATATATATCTATCTATATATATATTTGTAGGTCTCGATTTATTTTGATATACCATTCGAGGTGTATTGAGTTTATATTGGAGGCGCTAGGGTTTTGGTGAGCTTAAATTGGGGTTACGAAAAGCTTACTCAATAAAGTGATAAATTAAAATGGTAACTGCTCAAAATGGGGGTAAGGAAATGTGTCAGGGAAGTTGTCGATTGAAGTAGGAAGAGCTGGTTTTAATAATATATGAAATGAAAGATTTGGATATTAGCTATCATAAGATAGAAGTTGCTTAGAAAGGTCTTGTAATGAAGAGCCTTAAGATGATCTGTTTTCTAGGTAGCTTATTAGTTCCTTAACAATCATTTTCCACCTTAATATTTTTATAATTGAAATCAAATAACTTTTCCCCCTTCACTTTTAAACTATCTTTTACCCAGTCCTGCCTCAAGTTATTTTATCAATGAAAGTAAACACCAAAGAGGAAAAGCAGACACCAGAAATTGTAAATTATAGCTTACGTTTCCTGTTCAGCCATAAACCATAATATCATAATGGACGAGAAGTGCTGCCAGGTCGAGCTATATTAGTATACTACGATATATATATGTGGTCTATATCGGGGGGAAACAGGTCGAAAGCCTTTTTATTTTTGGGGTGGACAACTTGGCCAAGCAGCGACAGCGAAATCCAATTGTCAATCAACTTTCGAACGGGCTAAATTATGATGGTCGTGGATGACACCTGCTCCGTGTCCCACAGGCCTAAGTCAAGCACAACGATTGAATGATTGACTGACTGATTGAAATGGGAGGAATGTTAGTGGCTAGCCAAAGGTAACTCTGATTTCATTTCGAGTTGTTTGGCGATTCTTTTTATGAGGTGACAACATTTACGATACGGTAGCAAACGGAAAGAAAGATTTGCAATTCCCCATAATATACTCCTCGTACCCCATACATATATGGGGCCCGGTGGCCAGCGCTTAATCGCTTAACAATACAATAAAGTAGCAATAATTATAAAAAACTAAATTAAATGCCCCTGCCATCGTATAAATGACCCATAACCATGAATGAACGACGAACGGGCGAATGAATGAGAATATATATGATTGCTATATTTGTGATTTTTATGCCCGACTTTGATTAGGATGATTATACGCTTGATGAGCTTGAGGATTACTATTGCCTAGAATGACGACGGAGTGGTATACATATATGCATATATATTTCCCGGATTTCTGTTTGCGCGCCTGCAACATTTGCTTAGTTTCACCTCAGAGTTTAAACAAATATTGTTGCACACTGACCCTAGCCGTTTGCCTGGGCTAACCCACTGAGATAAGGGTGAAAATCTGTAGGTGGTTGGGGGAGGAGGAGGAGTAGTCCCTAGAAAATTTATAGTTTGCTTCCTCGGCTCTAGTCGTAAGAATTTATTGCATATTATTTTGTTTAATAGTTTTATGAAGCGCAAATTTGCTTTCAATTATGGGAGTTCTTAGTGGGGTTTAGTTAGGTTTATAGTTTAGTTTTCTTTGTGGTCAATTGGGTAGAGATTTTAGATGGTTAAAGGGAGATGTTTGAACATTTCTAATGGTAAATTTATGGTTATTACTTTAAAGTATTAAGAATGGAGAAGAGGATCTAGTAATATACAAAGTCTGGGATGGCTGTTTTCTTCCTCTAAACTTAGCTAGTAACTTTAAACTTTCTTTGTAAAATGATATTAAATTCTCCAACAACTTTTTAATAATCTTTAAACTAACTAATAGCAACCTAATCTTATATATAATTCTTGTAAAATCCCCCATGGAATCACAGATCTGTGCAGCTCGCCCAACTTAGAGGATCTGAGTGACTTGTTGGACTCAAGCGGTAGGAGGCATATCCATTCCATGGATATCCATTTTCTTT